TGGTCAAATCACGTTCAGCGTAGCCTGCTGATAACGAAATGTAAAGGGATGGATATAAGCAGGGACAGCTGTGAACTGTTTTTCGATTATTCTCAATATTCGGTGCTTCAAGACTGAGCTGAAATCAAAACAATGGCAAGGTGACCAATATAGCCCAGGAGAACTGTCTCCTCAGTGTCAGGAGGATGAGGGGTGAGATTGTCGGAGGAAACCACATGGGGGATGCTTGATTGAGACGGCATTAGCCTTCAGTCCTCACTCAACGGTTACGGTTAACTCTATTAGCTGATTCAAGGCTGTTTGGGTGACAGAGGGATCTTCCTTATTAGGAGATACGGAAACCATGGAGGTTCTCCGACTCACTCATGTGGTTTGTCAGCTTAGTTCTGAATGTCGGTTTTAAAGGGCATTTGGTAAGTTGTTTGTGAGTCGAGGTATATTTGATTTGAACTAGCATACGAAATGGTTCACGTATTATTTGGAATAACAGACACTTGACAATGCTTGCTGTGGATAAAATAATATTTGTTGTACTATTTTGATCTGTTCAGGATTAAACGAACATGGTGTTCTTTTTTTGTTTGGCTTTGATTTATATGGAACGTTATTGTGGAGAGGATCTGAACAAGATATTTATGCAGAAATAACAGTCCAGACTCTGGACTAGTCAGGATTGTTTCCTTGTTTCGCCCGTCTTGATCTTGCTATGAGACACATTGGTCTCAAGGAGTCGTATATATAACCAAAACGTACAAGTGGGAGCACATATTAAATAACATTAGAAGACACCGAATCACACCATGAATCTTTTGATTGTTTGTTGTTTAGTCAGCAGTATTCCAGCTATGTGACGGCGGTCTGTAAATAATCGAGTCTGGAGCAGATAATCCAGTGATTGACATTATGAGCATCTATCCACGCTATTGGGATATGATGACCTCTGTAAATAATCGAATGTGGACCAGACAATCTAGAGATTAATATCGCGAGCATCGATCCATCGATGACATGCATCAACCAAGTCAGCGAGCCTAACAACCCGATCCCGTTAGAATATTTTGGGGGACATTTTTTGATGGTGAAGACTGAGAAGACAATTTCATAAAACAAATATTCATGATCCCTAACTTATGTTGTTCAGTATATGATGGACTGTGTTGAGGGAGATTGTTGCTAATTATTTCTCAACATAATCCCCTCCGTGGCCACACACTTCTGCCATCGATGCTGGAGTATCCGGATCCCACTAGTGTAGAAGGGTTCCTCCTGGTGGTGTAAACAGACATCCTAAAAATGATTTCATCAAGATGTGCACAATGCTTCTCAGACAGGTCTTATCCCAAATATGATGGAGTCAAATCTGGTAAATATACGATGGGTACCCTAGTGGTTAAAGCGTTCGCTCGTCACGCCGAGGACCCGGGTGCGATTCCCGACATGGGTACAATGTGTGAAGCCCATTTCTGGTGTCAACGCCGTGATATTGGTGGAATATCAAAAACGGCGTAAAACCATACTCACTCACTCCACTCAATGCGTCGAAAGCCACAGGCATGATTTGCAGCCATGGCGACAACATACTTGTGCGCAAATGCATTGTCTTGGTGGAACAACACCTTAAGTTTAGAAGAAAAAAACAATGCATGCTGAAACCTTTGTCATGCTCTGTTCTTTCCTCAGAATGTTCACAACTCTCTCGTGAGAGATGTCTACAGTATTGGCTCTGTGTGTGTGTGTGTGTGTGTGTGTGTGTGTGTGTGTGTGTGTGTGTGTGTGTGTCTGTGTGTCTGTGTGTCTGTGTGTCTGTGTGTGTCTGTGTGTGTGTCTGTCTGTCTGTGTGTGTGTGTGTGTCTGTGTGTGTGTATTGGGTTTAACGCCGCTTTTAACAGTATAACAGTTACATCACGGCGTGTCAGCTTAATGTGGGAGGACAGCCCGAAGTGATGCAGGTCTCAGACGTTTACCACTTCGGTGAAACCCACGAGCACGGGTATGGTGCTGACAAACCTAGAAACATAATCGCGCCGAACCGGGATTCGAACCCACAATCATAGGTTTCTGGCGTGCCGCAGGGACTCAACTCTGCGCAGCGAATCGCGGCGCCTAAGACGACAGGGACACCCGTGCCCCCTATTGGCTATGTGGCGAGGGTGAGTCGTCACTACATCCATAATCATATTTTATCAACATTTAGCATAGAGGTGGCAGCTGAAGGTCTGCCTGATGTTGGGTTATCTTGGAGACTCTCTCTTCCCCTCTTGAACTCCGCTGCCCACCTCTTAACAGTGGCCAATGAAGGAGCATCATCATCTGAAGTTGACACCATGTCCTCATGGATGGTTGTTGGAGATACTTGATGACAGCGCGGTAGCCAATTTTGTTCATTTTCATGATGCCAAAAGAATTTTTTTGTATGTTGTTGTTTAACGCCGCACTTAGCAATATTACAGTTATATGACTGCCGTCTGTAAATAATCGAGTTTGGACCAGACAATCCAATGATTGACATCATGAGCATCGATCCAAGCAATTGAGATACGATGATATGCATCAACCAAGTTAGCAGCCTGACCACCCGATCCCGTTAGTCAGAACCAGGATCACATTAACGGCGAAACAAACGATTCGAAACCACGACCAGCGGGTGCTGGCACATTTAAGAGACGCAATTCCACACATCAGTCTCCGGCAAATTAAACGACCGGTTTCCCCTGTGTATCTAAGAAAATATTTCATCATTGATATTTGATCAAATAAAAGTAACTTGATCACCGGTTAATGTCACGCTATTTCAACCCTCTGCAAATAACCATGCTGTCTTTTCAAATTTTCAATTTCAATTATTAAGCCTAAAGGTATGTACCATTTGATATTTTGGTGGGTGACTTGGCTGGGATTTTGTATCAAGATTATAGATGGTTCAGCTACAGCTACGATCCCAGATATTTATTTCCTTAAATATATGAGCCGGATTTTTTTCAAGAAAAACGCTTGTCATTTTTGTGACAGGCAATTTTTTTTGTCAACACTCTGAAGCAAAATTAGTCAATGGTCATTCCCTTACAAGCAGAAGATTAACGTAACTAAGCCAAATACATTGTATGTATGTCGTCTCCACGTGTTCATAAACATACACATTTTAAAGAAGAATATAAAATCTGAATTTCACAAGTCTCCAAGCTTAGTGTTTGATGTAAGAAAAATAACGAAAAGCCGTTAGCAGATGTACAAATTGTCTTGTCACGCCTCCATGTGAGAATGATAAGTTCTGATTGGTCCACGTGATCTTCATAAACTACTGTGTAACCCGCCTTGGGGGTAATCAATTTCTCAGCGGGGAATAAATATTTTATACCCCGCCACGAGGACAACAGGCTGCACGTGGATGTCTGAGAGACAGAATACATCCTTTATACCCCGCTTCAAAGTCCTTGTATTGATACTGATGAACACTAATCTTAATACATCGACATCAACCACCCGCGTCATACATGGTAAATATATAAACATCGATCGTCAGTATATGCGACATTCGTGTAAACAGTTGTAAACTGTAAATATTCGAGTCTGGACCAGACAATCCAGTGATTGACACCATGAGCATCTATCCACGCTATTTGGATCAATGACATGCATCAACCAAGTCACCGAGCCCTAACAACCCGATCCCGTTAGTCGCCTCTTACAACAAGCATAGTCACCTTTTACGGTAAGCATGGGTTGCTGAAGACCTATTCTATCCCAGATCTTCACGGGTCTCCTCCGCAGGTGAGGTAGAAGCCACACAATACACGTGGATTGAAATAGACTCGATACGGAAGTGACATCAGTTGTTCCTTTGTTTACCATTTTGTATGGAAGGTTATGGTTGTCCACTTGGCTCGGGTAATTACTGTTAGCTGGGTATTTATAGACAGAGAAGCATCACAAGTTGTTAAACGCTATCAAGAAGTAACACATTCTGCATCATGTCACGGAATTAGGAAATGAAACTACCGAATTAAACTTTCTGACGATATATGACGTAACTGTTATATTTTTATATCCTTTATGTCTAAGCCTGTGATTAAAGTTTAAAAAAGCACACACGGCATGGTCTTACTTGCCATTTAAAATCTGATAATGATGTGTTTTATAATCGAAGAACTTGTGTGTTCAATTTCTGTGGCGATATAATTTGTTTCTTTTCGATCCACTCTATCTCATAATCTCCGGTGTCCGTCTCCTGTTCTTTGTCTGCCACGTGTCTGCGACGTTCACATTGTCGGCCTACAATGTCAGTCTACAATGTCAGCCTATTGTCTGTCAACCATGTTACTGTTTTTTTTGTCTTTCAGCAGATCGCTTCAGTCTACGAAGTTACAGGGGGCATGGGTGGTCCTGTTGTCTAAGGCGCCGAGAGTCGCTGTGCAGAGTTGCGTCCCTTTGGGCACGCCAGAAACCTATGATTGTGGGTTCGAATCCCGGTTCGCCCCGATTATGTTTCAAGTTTTGTCAGCACCTTATCCGTGCTCGTGGTTTTCACTGAAGTGGTAAACGTCTAAGACCTGTATCACTTCGGGCTTTCCTCCCACATTAAGCTGACACGCCGCAATATAACTGGAATACTGTTAAAAGCGGCGTTAAACTCACTCACTACTAAATTACAGTGTTTATGTGGCAGCATACTGTGATGATTGAGTGTTACAGTGTCACAGTGTTACCGAGTCGATTTTAAGAGGCGATTAACAGGGATCGGGTGGTCAGGCTCGCTGATTTGGAAGATGCATGTCATCGTATTCCAATCCCGACCGCGTCATAACAAAAGATGGTACTTGTTGTTACCCTGCCTGGCGCTCGGCATTAAGGGGCTAAAACAAGGACTGGTCGGCTCGGAGTCAGTATACTGTGTCTGAGAGGGGTATTCATGTTAAACTGCGGCATGGTATCTCAGTGGGCTAGAACTATGAAATAGGCATTAGTCCGGACTAGTACAAGCAGCCACACAGGAATATGGAAGTTTAGGACGGGTGTATGGAAGTTGAGGGCACTGGAGTATGATATTTGAGGACGGGAGTATGGTAGTTGAGGACGGGAGTATGGTAGTTGAGGACGGGAGTATGGTAGTTGAGGGCACTGGAGTATGGTAGTTGAGGACGGGAGTGTGGTAGTTGAGGACTGGAGTATGGTAGTTGAGGACGGGAGTATGGTAGTTGAGGACGGGAGTATGGTAGTTGAGGGCACTGGAGTATGGAAGTTGAGGACGGGAGTATGGTAGTAGAGGACGGGAGTATGGAAGTTGAGGGCACTGGACTATGGTAGTTGAGGACGGGAGTATGGTAGTTGAGGACGGGAGTGTGGTAGTTGAGGACGGGAGTACTGTAGTTGAGGACGGGACTATGGTAGTTGAGGACGGGAGTACTGTAGTTGAGGACGGGAGTGTGGTAGTTGAGGGCGGGAGTATGGTAGTTGAGGACGGGAGTGTGGTAGTTGAGGACGGGAGTATGGTAGTTGAGGACGGGAGTGTGGTAGTTGAGGACGGGAGTATGGTAGTTGAGGACGGGAGTGTGGTAGTTGAGGACGGGAGTACTGTAGTTGAGGACGGGACTATGGTAGTTGAGGACGGGACTATGGTAGTTGAGGACGGGAGTGTGGTAGTTGAGGACTGGAGTATGGTAGTTGAGGACGGGAGTATGGTAGTTGAGGACGGGAGTATGGTAGTTGAGGGCACTGGAGTATGGAAGTTGAGGACGGGAGTATGGTAGTTGAGGACGGGAGTATGGAAGTTGAGGGCACTGGACTATGGTAGTTGAGGACGGGAGTATGGTAGTTGAGGACGGGAGTGTGGTAGTTGAGGACGGGAGTACTGTAGTTGAGGACGGGACTATGGTAGTTGAGGACGGGAGTGTGGTAGTTGAGGGCGGGAGTATGGTAGTTGAGGACGGGAGTGTGGTAGTTGAGGACGGGAGTATGGTAGTTGAGGACGGAAGTGTGGTAGTTGAGGACGGGAGTATGGTAGTTGAGGACGGGAGTGTGGTAGTTGAGGACGGGAGTACTGTAGTTGAGGACGGGACTATGGTAGTTGAGGACGGGACTATGGTAGTTGAGGACGGGAGTGTGGTAGTTGAGGACGGGAGTATGGTAGTTGAGGACGGGAGTGTGGTAGTTGAGGACGGGAGTATGGTAGTTGAGGACGGGAGTATGGTAGTTGAGGGCACCGGAGTATGGAAGTTGAGGACGGGAGTATGGTAGTTGAGGACGGGAGTATGGTAGTTGAGGACGGGAGTATGGTAGTTGAGGACGGGACTATGGTAGTTGAGGACGGGAGTATGGTAGTTGTGGACGGGAGTGTGGTAGTTGAGGACGGGAGTATGGTAGTTGAGGACGGGAGTATGGTAGTTGAGGACGGCAGTGTGGTAGTTGAGGACGGGAGTACTGTAGTTGAGGACGGGAGTATGGTAGTTGAGGACGGGAGTATGGTAGTTGAGGACGGGAGTATGGTAGTTGAGGACGGGAGTATGGTAGTTGAGGACGGGAGTATGGTAGTTGTGGACGGGAGTGTGGTAGTTGAGGACGGGAGTGTGGTAGTTGAGGACGGGAGTATGGTAGTTGAGGACGGGAGTATGGTAGTTGAGGGCGGGAGTACTGTAGTTGAGGACGGGAGTGTGATAGTTGAGGACGGGAGTATGGTAGTTGAGGACGGGAGTATGGTAGTTGAGGGCGGGAGTATGGTAGTTGAGGATGGGAGTATGGTAGTTGAGGACGGGAGTATGGTAGTTGAGGACGGGAGTGTGGTAGTTGAGGACGGGAGTATGGTAGTTGAGGACGGGAGTATGGTAGTTGAGGACGGGAGTATGGTAGTTGAGGGCACTGGAGTATGGTAGTTGAGGACGGGAGTGTGGTAGTTGAGGACGGGAGTATGGTAGTTGAGGACGGGAGTATGGTAGTTGAGGACGGGAGTATGGTAGTTGAGGACGGGAGTATGGTAGTTGAGGACGGGAGTATGGTAGTTGAGGATGGGAGTATGGTAGTTGAGGACGGGAGTGTGGTAGTTGAGGACGGGAGTATGGTAGTTGAGGACGGGAGTATGGTAGTTGAGGACGGGAGTGTGGTAGTTGAGGACGGGAGTATGGTAGTTGAGGATGGGAGTATGGTAGTTGAGGACGGGAGTGTGGTAGTTGAGGACGGGAGTATGGTAGTTGAGGGCGGAAGTATGGTAGTTGAGGACGGGAGTGTGGTAGTTGAGGACGGGAGTATGGTAGTTGAGGATGGGAGTATGGTAGTTGATGACACTGGAGCCAGGAACAAGTTTTCCCGTGGCCTAACCTTTGAAGCTTGGGAAGCAGGCGTGCTGAATTATTTTATCATATCATGGCTCAAAACACTAGCTAACAAAAGAAGGCACCCTCCTTCGTCATCCGATGAAGAAACATCTCCAATAGTTAAAGGACCGTGGCATAGATTCTTGGTCATTTCACTGTGGACTGAAGTCCTTTAAAACCCGTTTGCGATACCAAAGGGCATTCAGAGTACCTGTGGTGAGGTTAAGAACGTCACACGTCTCCTCGGTGGATCCATCCTTGTGGAATATGCACGAAGACGGCAATCCGTTAATCTGCTGCAGGGTCGTCAGCAGTTTGTAAACACTCAGGTTGTTGTCTCAGTGCACAAGACACTGAATCAAGTAGAAACATCGTTGATGATCGAGCTCGCTGTCTGTCGAACATGACTGAAGAAGAGAAAGCAGCTGAATTAAAAAATCAAGGTATCACCGCAGTTAACAGATTCACCAGAAAAAGCAGATGAAAACATTGTCAATACCCAATCTTACCTATTCACTTTTTCAAACTCTTCCAAAGTCCATAAAAGCTGGTTTCTTAACATCGGAGTATAAGTTTATATCACAAACCCTCACCAGTGTCAGACATTCGGTCATTGGGCCAACACTTGCACGGGCAAGGCAAGGTGCTTCCGTTGCAGTGGAACTCATGAGATGAAGGGTGCCAACTGCGATGGAGAGTCAGAAATGTTTTTCATCCAGAATCAAACATATTGAAAATCAAGCAAACCAATAACGTATCTTACACTGAAGCAAACCCGTTCTAAGAAAGATTATTCAGCTGCCGCCTCTTCCCCAGGTCCAGTTACCACGGTAACTACGGCTTATACACAATGCCAGACTTTTGGTTAAAGGATGACCAAATTACCCTCGATGACACCATTCAGATATCTCAAAACCACCCAAAGATATCGACATCTTCCACCCAAGCAGAGAACATTCTGAGGACTTTCAGAGAACATTCAGATCAAAATCAACATTCAGAACCAGGCCCTAGAAAAGAAACAAACATTTAAGGTCGATAATAAAAAGCAAATGTGGAGAAAAGCCAGAACACTCTAACATTTGGAGTGCCTTCTCCTGTTGCAATCTTTGAAGAGGTTCAACATACTTTTGAGCCTCTGGAGATGGAGGTCAGCACTTCTTTGGGAGTAGACCTCTCGCTCAAGATGTTGAGCCTCTGTGGGCGGCTCATGTGATACCACTCAATTAAATTGCCGAGGGCTACGCAATACAATGATTTACAGTTACTTATACAATATTTTAAATCATAAGCATCATGTTTTCAGAAAAGATACTGATCATATCAGCAGAAGACAATACATTTCATTCTGCTTCAGGGGATAAAATCACTGGCGATTCTTCAATATCAGTGAGGCAGGGCATTATCCACAACCCTTTCCCGCTAAATACCCAACAAACTGTTTCTGTCCGGTCATGATAGTTTATTCCATTTTGACCAAAGGCCAAAATACAAAATAATAATAAATACACATTATTCGCATGTTTGTAGCATGGACAGATTGTTACTTCATCCCCCTTCCCAACCCACAAAATAACCAGGCCAATGACCCTCATCAATTAATGTTAAATAAATTTTTAATTTGACGTTTACACGATATACGGCTTTTCCATTGGACAAGAGGTCGGTCACATGACCGCGAAATTGACGTTCATAGGTGTATGAACGACACAATTTGACGTTCATACGACGTCCTCACGAGACCATGTTCTTGAAATGACGTAAACACTGACGGACTTCTTCCACATTCCCTAGCACGAAAACATACATAAACATTATTTCTGATCATTTAGAACCTTTAGTCTTGGTCTCAGAGTTTCAGTATACATTGAGAAATGTCAGAGAGCGTGACTGCATGATTGTTGACGAATATCCTCGCTGCGGCCCATCCTAATGAACAAACGAAAGAAAGCACATCCAAACTATCCTAGTATCGACTCGATCCGTGTCTACGCTTACAGTGACTGTCTCCAATCTATGAATTTACCCTAGTGTCTGTTTGACACATCTTATTATCACCTCTCAATGATCGGCCAGTTGATCAATGATGACTAACACGTGTAACCGCCACAGGTTCATTAACAACTTCTCCCGTCACGTTTATCTTGTCAGCCATTTTGACGTCTTGTACTTGATGTAAATGTATTACGACGCGCTGTCATTGTAACTGATTTACTGAGGTAGTTCTTTACATACCTTTCTCATCTAATGGTGATATTATTTGAACACATGTGTTGCGTAAGATGTTCCTGAAGATCAAGTTGTGCATCCGTACGGAAGCTCCGACGTTCATACAATGATTGGCGCTCACTCAATGAAGGTTCATACTCTAATGAACTCACACAAAGTGAAGGTCAGAGACGCATCACCCGGTTCGCCACAAATATCCATGGACCCATGAGAATAGGTCAGACTCTTCAGCACCCTGAAGTCTATTTCAATCCACGTGTATTGTGTGGCTTCTACCTCACCTGCTGAGGAGACCCTCCCACCAGACAATGTGTGAACGATCAATGTCAACAAATGTAGAATACTAAGGGACCCGCGAAGGTCCGGGGTAGAATAGATCTTAAGCAACCCATGCTTGCCGTAAAAGGTGACTATGCTTGTCGTTAAGACTAACGACCAACGGGATCGGGTGTTCAGGCTCGCTGTCTTGGTTGATGCATGTCATCGTATCCCAATAGCGTGGATTGATGTTTATGATGTCAATCACTGGATTGTCTGGTCCAGACTCGATTATTTACAGACCGCCGTCATAGGTGTAATATTGCTAAGTGAGGCGTTAAACAACAAACAAACAAACAAACTTTTCAACCAGTATTTCACAACACAAATCTAATAATTCAATTACAAATATTCAGTGAGGATTTCGAAAAAGTCAAATTACTGTTGACCATGTAGTCCGGTTAGAGTAAAATTTCAGTTATTAGTAACCAACGTACAGTGTCTACTTTTTTTAAATTTATTTCAATTTTTTTTCAAATTTATATTTACATATAAACTAAGCGGCAAAAGAAAGTATAGGTTGGCAATTTGTAATTTTCCTAAAAACAGCGATAACTAGTGGAAAGTGGGTATTGGGAATATGACTGCCAAGGAAAAGGTATCAAAAAACACCTCACCTCACCACCTTTGAGGGCGCTCGTGCGGTGACAAAAGAATGGTGAAACAGGTTTCCTGCCTATGGCATAAGCTGCACGTGCATGTTAGCTGTATAAATGCGTTCGTCTGCGGGGTATAACCACACGTGATGAAAGCACACAAAAGAAATGCCACGACTGTCACAGGAGCAAAGAGAGAGAGAGAGCCATCGATATGGCCGAAATGGGGGTAACACAGGTCCAAATTGCCAGAAGGTTTGGTTGTACATCATTGACAGTAGCCTGGCTGATTCAACGGTACAAGCAGACAGGGAGGACACAGGACAGGCCTAGAACCGGACGACCCCGAGTGACAACACACCGAGTGACGGTCAGATACGGCTCATTCACCTGCGAAACAGATTCGTAACGGCGACGGCGACGGCGACGGCGACGGCAGCAACAGCGTTGGGACATCCCATTAGCCAACGTACAGTACTACGACGACTTCGTGCTGCTGGAATCCGAGCGTATCGTCCTTTCCGAGGAATGGTACTGACTGATCAACATCAACGCCTGAGGCTGCGATGGGCGAGGCAGGTTCGACGCTGGCAAGTGAGAAATTGGCGTCGAGTGCTGTTTACTGATGAAAGTCGGCTTAACTTGTTTCGAAATGACGGCAGAGAACGAATTTATCGACGCAGAGGGGAACGTTTAGCTCCGGCGTGTATTCGAGAGGTCCATCCATTCGGCGGGGCAGGTGTCATGATGTGGGGCGGTATTTGTGGAGATCAGAAGACTGATTTGGTGATTTTACAGGAAAACCTGAACGCTGTGCAGTACAGAGACCAAGTGTTGCAGCCAGTTGTGCTTCCGTTCTTACAAAACCAACAGCAGGGGACATTGTTTCAACACAACAATGCCAGGCCCAATACTGCAAGACTGACTCGGAACTTTCTAAACCAGCAGAACGTTGACGTTTTCCCTGGCCTGCCCACTCAACCGATATGAATCCTATTGAACATCTGTGGGACCATCTTCACAGACAGATTAGGGCACGCCATCAGCCTCCCGTCAACAGACAAGAATTGCAGCAAGCCCTGAGAGACGAGTGGCAACGGATTCCAGTCCACGTCATCAGAAGACTGATGTCATCGATGAGGCGGCGTATCACAGCATGCATTGAAGCAGCTGGAGGTAATACACGCTATTGAGTGAGTGAGTGAGTTGGGTTTAACGCCGCCATTAACACTATTACAGTTATATCACGGCGTGCCAGCTGAATGTGGGAGGAAAGCCCGAAGTGATGCAGGTCTCAGACGTTTACCACTTCGGTGAAACCCAAGAGCACGGGTATGGTGCTGACAAACCTAGAAACATAATCGGGCGAACCGGGATTCGAACCCACAATCATAGGTTTCTGGCGTGCCAAAGGGACGCAACTCTGCACAGCGAATCGCGGCGCCTTAGATGACTTGGCCACCCGTGCCCCCAACACGCTATTGACGGCAACTTTGTCGACAATGAACTTGTAGTGTGTCTGGCAATTTTTTGGTGACATTTAAGACAACTTTTGAAAATGAAATTTTTTACCCCACCATTGTTTACCTTGAGCTTACATTACCTGTGATTGCACAATTTCATTCAAACTGTGGATGATCAATCATTTGTTACCCCTCCCTAGATTATATTATAATTCACAACAAAACCTCTTCTTGTTATTTTTTCTATCGATCATGAAACTCGACCTATACTTTCTATTGCCGCCCAGTTTAGATCCAAGGATGGTGACTCAGCTGCTAGCGCCACTGTCATTGGATCAAAAACCAAATAATCAAGTAACCAGACGATAGTCTTATGTTTACAGCAGAATCAAAGGCAATTTCAACAGCTATAGACTATATATACTCAATCTAAACTTAAATAATGCATGATATTTTCAAATTCCCCTTCCTGTCTTCAGGCCATTAAGGATATTTCAAATCAACATCCGTTTTTAAGTGAAATTATAGAATTACATAATGATCGTGCTCCTGGCCAATATGACATCGTCTTTCATCGGTTAACAAGCCATGTTGGAATCATTGGTAACACAATGGCCGTTACTCCTGTGAAGACCGCACTCAACAAATCTGTGACACAACTTCTAATCCAATACAGTGATAATAAACCTGTAATGAGATGTTAAATCAGAGATTTCTGGGTAACGAAGTGGGACATCCAAGTAGGTGTAAATAAATTACCTATAAAATCTACTATCGGCTACACCTACCTGGATTGTCAGCTCAGAGTTGTAGAGGTCATATGTGATGATGTCGTATTGGCTATTCACGCTATATTCACAAATTGTTTTTAAAAGATGAGGATCATCCGCTCTGCATCCCTTGTGATGAGAGAATTACAGTCAAGCAAAGAATCAAATTTTCATCCGCAAAGGAACGTTTCAAAAATATAAGTTCTCACTTTATTAGCTTTTTATATCAAATAGAATTGTATCATACATTTTGAAACATATGCTGTGTAATCAATACATAATATCTTTTAGAATTGGTAGAATAAATTTGATAACTGAGTTGCTGTACCCTTGAAGGTGGTTGAAGTAGTATATATGGTTGGAGGAGTGCAGCAGATGGTGGAGGCTGGGTGGATGACTGCAGCAGATGGTGGAGACTGGGTGGAGGACTGCAGCAGATGGTTGAGGTTGGGTGGAGGACTGCAGCAGATGGTTGAGGTTGGGTGGAGGACTGCAGCAGATGGTTGAGGTTGGGTGGAGGACTGCAGCAGATGGTGGAGGCTGGGTGGAGGACTGCAGCAGATGGTTGAGGTTGGGTGGAGGACTGCAGCAGATGGTGGAGGCTGAGTGGAGGTCTGCAGCAGATGGTTGAGGCTGGGTGGAGGACTGCAGCAGATGGTGGAGGCTGGGTGGAGGACTGCAGCAGATGGTGGAGGTTGGGTGGAGGACTGCAGCAGATGGTGGAGGCTGGGTGGAGGACTGCAGCAGATGGTGGAGGCTGAGTGGAGGACTGCAGGAGATGGTGGAGACTGGGTGGAAGGCTGCAGCAGATGGTGGAGACTGGGCCGAGGCTGGGTGGAGGACTGCAGCAGATTGTGGAGGCTGGGTGGAGGACTGCAGCAGATGGTGGAGACTGAGTGGAGGACTGCAGCAGATGGTGGAGGCAGGGTGGAGGACTGCAGCAGATGGTGGAGACTGGGTAGAGGACTGCAGCAGATGGTGGAGGCTGGGTGGAGGACTGCAGCAGATGGTGGAGACTCGGTGGAAGGCTGCAGCAGATGGTGAAGGCTGGGTTGAAGGATGCAGCAGATGGTGGAGGCTGGGTGGAGGACTGCAGCAGATGGTGGAGGTTGGGTGGAGGACTGCAGCAGATGGTGGAGGTTAGGTGGAGGACTGCAGCAGATGGTGGAGGCTGGGTGGAGGGCTGCAGCAGATGGTGGAGGTTGGGGGGAGGACTGCAGCAGATGGTGGAGGTTGGGTGGAGGACTGCAGCAGATGGTGGAGGTTGGGGGGAGGACTGCAGCAGATGGTGGAGGTTGGGGGGGGAGGACTGCAGCAGATGGTGGAGACTGGGTGAAGGGCTGCAGCAGATGGTTGAGGTTGGGTGGAGGACTGCAGCAGATGGTGGAGGTTGGGGGGAGGACTGCAGCAGATGGTGGAGGTTAGGTGGAGGACTGCAGCAGATGGTGGAGGCTGGGTGGAGGACTGCAGGAGATAGTGGAGACTGGGTGGAGGACTGCAGCAGATGGTGGAGGTTAGGTGGAGGACTGCAGCAGATGGTGGAGACTGGGTGGAGGACTGCAGCAGATGGTGGAGGCTGGGTGGAGGACTGCAGCAGATGGTGGAGACTGGGTGGAGGGCTGCAGCAGATAGTGGAGGTTGGGTGGAGGACTGCAGCAGATGGTGGAGGTTGGGTGGAGGACTGCAGCAGATGGTGGAGGTTAGGTGGAGGACTGCAGCAGATGGTGGAGACTTGGTGGAGGGCTGCAGCAGATGGTGGAAACTGGGTGGAGGGCTGCAGCAGATGGTGGAGGTTGGGTGGAGGACTGCAGCAGATGGTGGAGGTTGGGTGGAGTACTGCAGCAGATGGTGGAGGTTAGGTGAAGGACTGCAGCAGATGGTGGAGACTTGGTGGAGGGCTGCAGCAGATGGTGGAGACTGGGTGGAGGACAGCAGCAGATGGTGGAGGTTGGGTGGAGGACTGCAGCAGATGGTGGAGGTTGGGTGGAGTACTGCAGCAGATGGTGGAGGTTAGGTGGAGGACTGCAGCAGATGGTGGAGACTTGGTGGAGGGCTGCAGCAGATGGTGGAGACTGGGTGGAGGACAGCAGCAGATGGTGGAGGCTGGGTGGAGGACTGCAGCAAATGGTGGAGGCTGGGTGGAGGACTGCAGCAGATGGTGGAGGTGACATATGGTATAGTGACATCAAAGATTATCAGAGACAACCTCGACTCTTTGTGGTAACACACAGTTGACTGATATTTTACAACCGCTTCGCGTAGACAGGCAACATGAACCCACAAATGTTCTTGTTCTTGTATTTTATGTGCTAACTTTGTCCTGGGAGTGTGTACCGAGTTGCAGCGAGACGTACAGAACATATGCTGTGACCAGTGAGGTGAAAGTCGTCTCGTGCAAATCTGTGTCAGAATAGGTCTTCAGCAATCCATACTTGTTGTAAGGCGGTCAGACTCGCTGACCTGGTTGATGCATGTCATCGTTTCTCATTTGCGTGAATCGATGCTCATGATGTCGATCACTGGATTGTCTGGTCCAGATACGATTATTTACAGACATTTGTTTGGAACCAAATATGAGAACCTTAGGTCTGTCTCTGTTTACCGTAAGATTTCACGTATGACACGAATTACAGACCAAAATATAAAATGTATCCAAAGAGTTTGGTCATCATTGTTATCCGGGATAGAATAGGTCTTCAGCAACCCATGATTGCGACTGTGCTTGTCGTTAGAGGCGACTAATGGGATCGCTGACTTGACTGATGCATGTCATACTGTTCCAATTACGTGGATCGATGCTCATGATGTCAGTCATTGAAATGTCTGGTCCAGACTCAATTATTTACAGACCGTTGTCATATAGCTGGAATAGTGCGGCGTCAAACAACAAAGAAACAAAAATAAAATGCATATAATGTTGTGTTACAGCAGGTTAGGTTAGTGGTTTAAGCGTTCGCTCTTCACGCCGAAGACCCGGGTTCGATTCCCCACAATGGTAGGTACTCGGATCCACCGAAATTATAAGACCCGTGAAGATTCCGGGGTAGAATGGGTCTTCAGATACCCATGCTTGCCGTAAAAGGCGACTATGCTTGTCGTAAAAGGCGACTAACGGGATCGGGTGGTCAGGCTCGCCGACTTGGTTGATGCATGTCATCGATCCCAATTGCATGGATCGATGCTCATGATATAAATCACTGGATTGCGACTCACACAGCTTAAATACACGCAACAAAGAGTTCTGCTTTATTTTTAAAATATTTTCCACAAGAGAATGTTTTTTCATAGAGTTAAAATAGGGATGTGTTTTAAGTAGGGGAATATCCTCGTAACTCGGGGACACGGCTCCATTATTTCTAAGGAATGGAGAGTTACTTGGACGTTATTTATTTACGTAAAACATGCGGTGATGATCTTCATGCCAAATACGCAGTGGTGATCTTCATGCCAAATACGCAGTGGTGATCTTCATGCCAAGTATTCAGTGGTGATCTTCATGCCAAATACTCAGTGGTGATCTTCATGCCAAATACTCAGTGGTGTTATTAACCAATAGCGTAGCATGTGATATTCAAAAAACGTTTTTGGCTTCTGGTACGAGATATACATTTTAGCAAAAAAAGCGTGGCATAATCACAGAACGCATAGACATGTGATTTTTCACCAAAAGCATGGTGGACATTGGATACCGATACACGTTCTTAAGGAATCATTTTGACTTTAAATAAACTCAATATTGCCTATATCTGGGGTCGCCGTCAGTACGGCGTAAAACAACAATCAAACAGTTAAGGAAGAGGATTTATGGAAGTCAACTTCTTTATTATGAGGGGCGGTCAGGTAGCCTAGTGGTTAAAGCGTTCGCTCGTCACGCCGAAGACCCGGGTTCGATTCCCGACATTGGTACATGGGCCGTGATATTGATTGAATATTTCTAAAAGCGGCGTAGAACCATACTCACTCACTCTGTATTATGAGGAACATAATGTTTCGGAGTATATGCTTACTCCGTCATCATTCACCGAAATGTTGTGTTCCTCATAATAAAGAAGCTGACATCCATAAATCCTCTTCCTTATGTGTATTACTTCTGAATGCCTTTCAAAGACTTACCTCCAGCGAGTAACATAGCAACAACCCAATCCACCCACCTACTGCCATGAAAGTCGACCCTGTGCTTGTAAAGTAAAACGTGAGCGTCTTCTATAGAAGTAATGCAATACTTTTCATTTCCTTTTTAGACTGCTTTTAGTACTGTTGTTGGTGCAGGCCATATCAGGATCGAATCCCAAATAGTGCCATGTTCCACATCCATGTAAACCCAACTTCCTATGGAGGGGGGTGGGCCACATCAACCCTCTAGGCGGAGGCGACAGGAATCAGTTTGGAATGGATTATGCACGCATGTAATATTATTCCAGCAATATGACGGCCTAGGACCCAAATTGCGGTTTTCACACTTAATACCAATGCACGCGTCTAATCTACTCGTCAACATTCCGGAGAAGAGCATACAGGTCCCTAGAACCCAAAGGGTGTCATAGGAGTCGACTATGAATATATCTGCTACCATGTCACGCGTACATTGGGAGTCGAACTCGGATTTGAGCACTGGGCGTCCCTCCCTAGCTCGATTTTATAAACATTCATACAAGATGCATGCATTGATACATAACCAATGAATCTGTGATATTCTGTAGCAATCATATACTAGTATCTTATACCTACTGCACCGACTACCTATTGAGGGACACTGTGTCCCAGTCGTCTAAGGAGCCGAAATCACTGTTCAGAGTTGCGTCTCTTTAGATCTTTTGGAATCTAAGGAGTAATTTATTGGCAAGATAGGGCCATCAATTTCGCTATTACGTCTTTTTTTATGAAGTACGATTTCAGCCTTTTGGGTTGGTTTTTTTTGTATATACCTAAACGTATGCAGTTTTAATATCGATATTTGTGTTGGAATAGTTTGGTTTCTTGTGAACTGAACACCACGAAAATATATTGTTCTTACCCACAGCTAATTCTTTCTAAGCATAGCGGAGTTATTCCCCCTTTTCTTTGTACGTGCGTAACCTCTTTGTCGCCTTTTCACGTCATAGCGGAGAATTAGTTTTCGTCATTCACGGCGAGCAATGTTTTGCATTGAATTTATGTCGTTATACATACGCATATAACTCAATTTGATATATATATATATATATAGTCTTCAAAAAAAGAAACTTGACACTGACTTTCAAAATGCGATTGTTTCAAAATAGGACACAGAAACCATATTGAAACACTGTTTGAAGATCAATGTTCACAATGTTCAAAACATTAATCGTGTCACCTAGACAGACACACGTACACGATACAGTTAATGTCACAGGGGTACAGAAAATGTCAGTATCGGTTGTGCCCACCACGTGCATCAATCACCGCTTGACACCGACGACCCATCGATGCAATCAAGTTGTCAATAACACGCTGTTGGATGTGCTGCCATTCATGCTGAAGTGCATCAAGAAGCGCCGGAAGTGTTTGGGGCGGTGGATTCCTTCTGCGAACGCGTCGATCCAACTCGTCCCACAGATACTCAATCGGGGACAAATCTGGTGACCGGGCTGGCCAAGGTAATGTCTGGATGTTGTTGTGCTGTAAGAAGTCCTGACAAACACGTGCAATATGCGGTCGAGCGTTGTCCTGCTGGAACTGTCCGCCATGAACGTTGACGTGAGGAAGAACGTAAGGCTGTAGGATCAAGTCTCTGTAACGCACACCTGTCAATGCACCTGCCACATGCACGAGAGGCGTCCTACCACCGTGATGAATTCCGGCCCATACCATGACACTCCCGCCGCCAAATGGGACAACCTGCTGCATACTGTTGGGGGCGTAACATTCACCCCGACGTCTGTAGACACGTGTGCGCCCATCAGCACGTGTGAGTAGGAAACGGGACTCGTCAGTAAACAGTACATTTCTCCACCTTGCACGTGCCCATCTAACCCTCTGTTGGCATGACGTCGAACAGGTCTTCGTGCCAAAAGTCCAGCCTCCATCAGTCTGTTGCGTACCGTTTAATCTGATATTCTGCGTACCCCAGGGATCTGTGTGGTTGTAGACGTGGCTGTGATAGTGCGGTATCGGAGGTGTCGCAGCCGGATGTATCGATCTTGTGCTTGGGTTGTCACCCTTGGTCTTCTTGACCTTGGTCTGTCGTCAACTCTGTTGGTGTTGTTGTATCGGGTCCACAGTGCGGAGATTGTCTGTCTGGATACGCCAAAGTGCCTGGCCACTTCTTGCTGAGTTGCTCCAGCTTGTAATCTCCCAATGGCGTTGTTCGGTTGAGCTGCATTCAGTCTTGGCATTCTGTCACCGCCTCTACTGCCGTTAAAAGGACTGTATGACCAGCCGTTGATGTGGATTTTTATACCCATTTAGCAGGGGGGCCTGCATGCCTAAATTTGGATGAAGCTGTAAAATTGATCCCCAAACGCTACGTTTATGTGCTTTGCATGTGTGTTCGCGAATTATAGACACATCATCTTTCTGTTTGACTTATTTGGTTCTCATTTAATGTAATTATTTTAGATATTTGGCAAAAAGTGGTTTTACATCTATGTCAAGTTTCTTTTTTTGAAGAGTATATTTATGTCGTCCAGGTATTAGGCAGTCTCCGTAAAGCTGCTAAATAAAACAAATCGTCGCACAGTACTTTTATCGGTGTACGATAAAAAGCGGAGAAATTTCCTGTTTTTCAACGCAGAATAACTTCTCGGACAACACTTAGCAGTGTATTTTTTTTCAAACCGGTTTTATATTTGCAGTTACATTTACACCATCCGATAGGAAATTTAATATTCTACATCTAGGGCTGAGTAATTTTATAGCCGAAGGTAGCGACAGTTCCGCGTGAGCGCAATTCTCGCACACGGTTCACTTTTCCGATCTTAGGAAAAGATTAAAAAAACTCGTCATCGAACGAGCCCAGCTCTGTCACCCATTCACCACTAGACCCGTGAAGAGCTGGGGTAGAATAGGTCTTTAGGAACCCATGCTTGCCGTAAAAGACGACTATGCTTATCGTAGGAGGCGTCTAACGGATTGGGTGGTCAGGCTAGCTGACTTGGTTGATGCATGCAATCGTATCCCAATTGCGTGGCCCGATGCTCAGGATGTCAATCACTGGATTGTCTGGTCCAGACTCGATTATTTACAGACCGCCGTCATATAGCTGGAATATTGCCGAGTGCAGCATTAAACAACACACCAACAACAACATTCACTACTAGCTATAGGTAGGTTGGTTGGTTGGTTGGTTGGTTGGTTTGTTGTTTAACACCGCACTCAGCAATATTCCAGCTATATGACAGCGGTCGGTAAATAATCGAGTCTGGACCAGACAATCCAGTGATTGACATCATGAGCATCGATCCACGCAATTGGGATCGATGATATGCATCAACCAAGTCAGTGAGCCTGCTCACCCGATCCCGTTAGTCGCCTCTTACGACAAGCATATTCGCCTTTTACGGCAAGCATGGGTTGCTGAAGACCTATTCTACCCCGGATCTTCACGGGTCCTATAGTCAGGTTTGTTGTCCGAGTCCATGAGGCACAGTTCCATCGTCGACAGCAGAAATCAACTGATCATTCACCTCTATAGGTAGGTTTGTTTGGAGGTGAATGATCAGTTGATTTCTGCTGAGGACGATGGAACTGTGCCTCATGGACTCGGACAATGACGGCTTGATGGACAGGAACTTGGAGATCCAGAGTGTATCTGGACATGGGGAATCTACCGGCCAGCACGACAGGCATAACACACCCAGGTAAGGGGCTTGTGCATCCTCAACTGAATCTATAAGCACAAGCAAGGTCCTCCTCCCATTCTAAAGAACATGTAGTGCTGAGACAGAATTCTACATTTGGGGGCCAATTTATGCGCACGGGGACCTACTACGGGGGTACAACAGGTCTCTTTAGCAACCCATGCTTGCCGTAAAAGGCGACTATGCTTGTTGGAAGAGGGGACTAACGGCATCGGGTGGTCAGGCTCCCTGACTTGGTTGATGCATGTCATCCATCCCAATTGCGTGGATAGATGTTCATGATATCAATCGCTGGATTGTCTGGTCTAGACTCGATTATTTACAGACTGCCATCATATAGCTGTAATATTGCTGAGTGTGGAGTTAAACAACCAACCAACCTCACATCAGAAAAAAAGAGAAGTAAGTGTTAAGACTTTATTTCAGACTTTGTACAAGCAAGTGTAAAATAGATATGGAATAGGAGGAGTATGCAATGTATGATTTTATTAAAATACCAATACTCTGACATTGTCTGTGTTACATAACCCTGATGAAGAATAATGTGAATATTCCACAATGATTCTGCTTTCATTGAGTTGCTTCTATTCAGACTGTACAGCATAAGTGACATTCTAGAATATATTTCATTTATAACAAGTCACAGCCAAGTCTCAAAACACATCCCTGAACAAAGTCATGTCAGTGATGGACCATCTCTACAATCTTGACCTTGCCCAGTCAGGCTACAGTCTCATGAAAACCCCACAGAATTTTCCAGTAACAGTGAGACTGAACATCTTCAAAATGATCACTTAGGTACTGCCAGATTGAACTACATTATCAGAGTCGGTTTAGAAAACTGTTGAACAATTATTATCTCTTCAGATTAGCCTCAAAAACTTGCCTTGACCAATCAATCTTTATCTGAAATCACCAGCATGCTCTCAATAACTGTAATAATAATGCTCCATTGAAGTGAATGAGAATTGTGAAATTATCGTATTCAGTAATATTTATCTTTAATGTAATCAACCAAAAATCTATATCTTATGTCTCTTCTCTGTAGCATTGCTCCTTAGACGAACAGTAAAGAATAGTTTCTTGACAAGTATTCATTTGTTTCGCTTCCAGTGTTCCTATGTCCATTCTTCCCTCTTGACCTCTCGAACCTGGAACACTGATCTTGAAACTGGTTGTCTCCAAATCTTTCTCTTGGAGATAATGGAGTCCAGGTTATCACAAACAGCTTTGTTAACTTTTGGTCATCCCATCAACAAAGTCAACACTTGTGGTCCACACAACCTTGTTAGGTTTATAAAGTGTAACTCACCAAGTGTTGACAAAGAGCACACAAGCATCATTTTGCACCATCTGTCCCACAGCATAGAGGAAAACATAATTCTAGGAGTCGACTACCATCCCAACATGTACTCTTTGACCTTAGATATAAAACTGTTATCTTTTTGTGGTGGTTGGTTGCCTTTTAAAACCTGAAAATAGCAATGAAACAACATCATCCTCTTGAAGAAAGGACTATTGTCAGTACTTCACCAGTTCATTCACTATCAGTGTTCCTGTTTACCAGTAATTACCATTTTTTCCCCAGTAAAATTAAGCGTGGACCGGTAATTCATGTGACTGCCAGTCCCTGTGGACCGGAAAATAAAGTGACTTATAAAACCTTGTTGTTGAACAAAACATCGGTGATATTTATATAAGTACATTTTTCGAACAAAGTCAGCTTGTTTATAACCATCAGGGTTTTTACCCTTGTCTTTTTCTAGGTTAAATATCCATTTGTTGCGAAATAGATAATCTTGTAGTCCTATGCTAAGGCACGTGAATTCAGATAATCTTATAGACCTGTGCTAAGACATAAGAAATTAGATAATCTTGTATTCCTATGCTAAGGCACGTGAATTCAGATAATCTTATAGACCTGTGCTAAGACATGAGAAATTAGATAATCTTGTAGTCCTATGCTAAGGCACAAGAATTCAGATAATCTTATAGACCTGTGCTAAGACATGAGATATTAGATAATCTTGTAGTCCTATGTTAAGGCACAAGAATTCAGATAATCTTGTAGGCCCAAGCTATGACACAGAAATTCAGATAATCTGGTAGGCCCAAGCTATGACACAGAAATTCAGATAATCTTGTAGGCCCATGCTGAGGCACAGGAACTCATATTATCTTGTTTGTCGATACTAAGGCAAGGGAATTCAGATAGACCAAGTGGTAACATGGTACACCTCTGACAGAGTAAGGTCGACACATACAGTAATATTACTTGAGACAGGTGGCATTGGGACATCTTCATGACTTTCAGAACTTTTTAAAGGGACATTCTTCTATAGCACTACCAAATTTTAAAAAAACATCTGTCAAACATTTTAGACACTAATCAGTCAATATCCTAGAATATGAACCGATCTGAAGCCCTTCCCACAGCGATGGACCCAGTGTCCCAGCAGAGAGTAGGACCTCCAAGGTCACCTCTCCCAGTAGCTATAGTTCCCAGATGTTCAGACCAGTTGGCTATCCCCTCCCATCATACCTCATAGTCTGTCCTAGATGCCTGGTAGGCGGAAGTGAGGGGCCGGATGGGTGTGTGTTTGGAGGAGGTGCTCGTGTCCCCGAGTCGAGACAGGTTCATCGTGGGTGTGGCCATCATGTCTTCGTTCTCCTTGTTGTCGTCCATTACACTCTGAAGTAGACAAACTGATTCACAAGCACTCATTCCGTCTGACTTTGATTTAATTGTTCAACTCTGAAGTATGACTCTTCATGAGCCAAGATGTCAGTCACAGGTCCCAATGGATGCTATTTCCATGACTCCAGTCTATGGTTGCAGTGGCAAACTGAGCTTCCATGACCAATGATCACATGACAACATCAAACTGGATTATAGTTTAATGCTGCTTTGAACATTACTTCAGACATATGGCGTGTTAGCTTTTTGTTGAACAAAGTGAGTGAGTGAGTATGGTTTTATGCCGCTTTTAGCAATATTCCAGCAATATCACGGCGGGGGACACCAGAAATGGGCTTCACACATTGTACCCATGTCGGGAATCGAACCCAGGTCTTCGACGTGAAGAGCGAACGCACAAGGCTACCCGACCGCCCCTGTTGAACAAAGTAATCCTCCAAGCATGGTTATGGTGGTGAGATCCAAGGATCATTATGTGAGTAAGTTGGGTTTAACGCCGCTTTTAAGAGTATTCCAGTTATATCACAGCGTGTCAGCTTAATGTGGGAGGAAAGTGATGCAGGTTTACCACTTCGGTGAAACCCATGAGCACGGGTATGGTGCTGACAAACCTAGAAAAATAATTGGGGCGGACCCACAATCATAGGTTTCTGACGTGCCAAAGGGACGCAACTCTGCACATTGAATTGCAACGCCATAGATCATAATGAAATAAATTATTGATACATGGTTTGAATTAAGAAACCTTTCAAAAATCCATACTGTTGAACTGTTTAGTGAAACTACATTAAGACAGCTGACCACTATACCTTGTCTATGCAGGGCAGTACCCCGACCATCATGCTGTTGCCGAACACCTTGCCGTTCTTACTGAGGGCCTTCTTGGCCTGTATCTTGGACTGGTAGTGAATGTGCATCCAGTTGCCCTCCATAGATGACTGCAACACAACAGGTCACTGGAATTCTTAATCTGTTTACTTATGTTTACAGTCAGCAACACAACATGTCACTGAACTCTTAATCTGTTTATGTTTACAGTCCAGAACACAACATGTCACTGAACTTTAAATCTGTTTACTAATGCTTCAGACAGCAACACAACATATCACTGGAATTCTTAATCTGTTTACTTATGTTTACAGTCAGCAACACAACAGATCACTGAACTCTTCATCTGTTTGTTTATGTTTACAGTCAGCAACACAACATGCGACTTACCGGTACATAACAACGCGCATTCATGTGAGTGTGGCTGCTTGCACTAGTCCAGACTAATGCTGGTCTCATAGTGCTAGCCAAATGAGATACCGCAGTTTAACATGGACACCCCACACAGACACTGTATACTGACTACGAGCCGACCAGTCCTTGTTTTAGCCCTAAAGAGCGAGCACCAACAGGGTAACAAGAAGTACCATCTTTTGGTATGACACGTCCAGGGATCGAACACTCTACCTTCCACTCCCTGGGCAGATGCTCTTTCCCCAAAACCACGTAATTTCACGGAGACGGTCACATATATGAGTATCCCTAACTGAAACATGAACTGAGGTCAACATGAGGCTAGTTTCCTTACCGAATGCTTCATGATGTTGCCATACTGTGAGAACTGCTGTACAATGAAAGACGTAGCAGCCGGTGGGAACCTGCAGAACAAACATATACAAAGATGTGCACATGAAAACCTGTAATATATCTCCTTAACAAAGCTTAAGGGTTCAAATTGTTTGTTTTTTTAAACCCGCTTACACAAAGACAAATGAATAAGATAAAAAAAACATTTGCCCTGATTGAATTTCTAGTTAATAAAGAGGAAAATACTGATGACACGGCAAGTAACGTTGCATCTACCCAACTGCCAAAACAGTAACAAGGGAAGAGTGAGTGAGTATGGTTTTACGCCACTTTTAGCAATATTCCAGCAGTATCACGGTGGGAGACACCACAAATGGGCTTCACACATTGTACATGTTGTACCCATGTCAGGAATCGAACCCAGGTCTTCGGCGTGACGAGCTAACGCTTTAACCACTAGGCTAGCCGACCGCCCCAACAAGGGAAGAAGTCAACACAATGTTGATATCTATAATACAGAAATACAACCATTACTACGCGTATAATCTGAGAGTCATACCCAAAAACTGTCACCCATGTTTCATCAAGGATGTCCTCTGCCTTCAGACTATCCCTACAAAAAACAATGATTAAAGTTAGTAGGGCTGTGTCTTGGCCACAAATGTATTACAACATTTTGTGATACAGATGTCTATATTGAGAATACTACACTGATTCTTGTTATATACTATTTTTATGAAATGAGTGGACTTCCTATGGTATCTGACCGAGCGAAAGCGAGAATGAGTGTGGTATTTTATTTATTTCCCACATCAAATATGTATTTAAGTGTTAATACATAACAGACCAAACTGAAACCGGTTGCAAATCTGGTTGCGCATGTATATTGATATGTGCCCAAATATGGGCATTGTTGACATTTCTATGCATACGCATAAACGTGTACCTGCTGTTGTGTGTGCAAACATGACACCATCAACGGTCAAGATCATATTTTAAATATTTATTCAACTCATGGTAATCCAAGCGCATTGTTGTTAGTACGCAGGGCAACTGAAAGAAAACTTAAAAAGTCAATTAGCGCCACGCTTTGAATCTTGGGCCAACACTCGCATCGACGGGGTCCCGGCTGTGCAATCAAAATGCTTCGGTTTCCTTGATCTATCGGCTGAATTTATAACCTATCAGTACCATTTTGGAAGAGGGAAATCAGAGGTGCTCGCCAAAGACGTTTATGTTAACTGTACGACCCTATAATGAAGACGTGAAAGTCAACAAACTCAAGTCTGCTTACATGTCAGTGTCAACTTTGAACAAAGGGCATGGTCACCATTGGAATAAGGAATGACAACTGTGACCTACTCACAGCGTTTTACACTAGAGATCAGTGGAATGTTCTTGTCACATTTGGGATGTTTGGGCCACAAAAACAGAAGTCAGGCACACTGCAACAGAGTTTTTGAATGATTTGTATCAGAACTGTTCACTTTGAGTGATCTGGTCGTGCAGTCGTGTATGTTCATTCATGAACAAACACCTTCGGAAGCAATGTCACAAAATATGCTTTGAATGGAGGATTGATGGCACAACCGGAGTATCAAACGTAAGTCTAGATATCTGTTTTAAACTGACTTCATTTCACCACACTTAACCTACGATATGTTAAATCAAATTGAAAGTCGCTCATAGGGACCCTCGATCCATCGGTAGACATTGCATATCATATGGATATAGCTCGATTATATAATGTCTGCAGTAGCACTATACATAACTAATATAGAATTTAATGCGTTTGACGATCTTGTTTGGTTTAATAAAGTATGTGTAAATGTCTCTCGCTTTCGTGAGATTCCTTCAGTTCTGCCTTGTAGCAGAGACCATATAATAGAGGGACGGCCCTCCCCAACAGTTTATCATAAACCATCAGCGCTACGGTCTGGCATGTAACTGATACACCCCGACACCCTGCTGTTAACCTCTCTGTACCGCTGCAGATGCGCAATAGATGCGCAGACATTCACGACTGACCATTCTGGTAACCACGTAAACAATATTATATAATATCCGGGGCTAGAGTTAATTCCCTTAGCCGAGATTTCTCCGACTACGACCAGCGACAATCCAATAAAAGGACGTCTCTTAGCGGATCACAAAGATTTTCCTGGTCTAAATAGAATGACAGTGATGTTACTGCTACCAAGCCGTTGGTAAATACCTCCCAAAAAGATTCACTCAAAGAAAAAGATAGGAAATGAAAATATGACGTCTGTCCACAAGCGTAAGTTTTCGAGGGCGTGTGAAGAAAAAGCCGTTCCGATATCAAAAGTATTTTATAACGCATTCTGTTTGTTTTAAAAATCAGTTAATATATCTCATTTTATGCTGCAATTGTTAACTATTATAAATAAACAAATATACCAAATCTACTACGAACGCCACAGAAAACTACGATCCGGTAAATTGCACAGGAACTCAGGAAGTGTAAATAAAACTCATCCAGAAGCAGGGAAGACACTTGTAACATATCACCATATTCCCGATGTTCACAAAATATGTCTCCATATTAACTTCATATCTTATAATAAGTCCAGACTAGATTTACTTGCAAAAATGCATGATCACCGACTGGTGTAAATGCTTTACTATTAGCTAGAAAAAAATGACGCCATATTAATGGCGTTAAATGAATTTTCGATGTGTCCGACAATGGGCTTCGAAAGAATCAAACGTTATTGGTTAATGCCAGTTTGGGGCTAGCAGTGATAAAGGGGTTTGCCGGAGCGAGGTAAGTTTTTTTTCAAAGGGAGGCTACTGTTAAAGTCCAAATATTCCGATATTACCCGATTAGATTGATATTTCAGCATACAAATAATTAGGTATTTCAGGTATAACAATATAGCTTCAACGAGCATGGTACCAGATATCTACTAGTATATCGTAAACTGTAGTAACGTTTGTTGTTTTCAAAATTCTTTCATCATAGTTTTCTATATCTGATCAATGAAAAACAAACTTTAAACTCTAACCTGGAACAAAGCATGCAACTACACATGTGTTACTATTAAAACAAAACAAAACATCACAAACTCTGACAAATATGTAAATGTATTTTTCACAGAAAAGGACAATAGACCATCTATATATTTTACTGAATGACACCTTCGACCTTGTTGTCTGGAACTTCTCTCCCGACGACTGCCGATATAATCCTTCTTCTTTCTTGGCATTTACAAAGCAAATGATTATTTTATTATACAAATATTTCATGTAACGGATTTTTATTTTTGTATGATGTTTTCATAGTTGTGTAAATACACAAAGTAAGTAGTACCTTCATCATATTTACATTATTATGATTGGGTTTAGGCCAATATCATTTTGCTCATAATCAATATTTACACGGCATAAAATAAATAATTGATTAAATGTAGTCATGATTTATACAGACAAAATCTACAGAAGATAACAAATATGTAGTATTGTAGTATGTAGTATATGCGCGATATGTGATAAGGCCTAACTGAAACAAAGTTAAACTTACGAAGAAATGGCGAAGCAATGGTAAAAAAAAATACGCGTTTTACAAAAACAATTCTAATATCATACAATATAAGTCACTTTGTAGAATGTTTCAAAGGATATATGCGGATGATAATCACAGACAAAATGCATGTTATGTCGTCTGCTATATGGTAATTTAACTTAAAATATGTGACGTAAAATATGGCCTTGCGTCAAAAATCATACCAAAGAAACTACCGATCGTATCTAAATAACGTTGGTACCAAGCCATAGGGGAAATCGTGATGAATGTAAAACTATTAAATTCAGGACCGATAATAGGAACACATTCGTCTGAAAGCATGCGAAAATTAGGAGTTGTGATGTAATTATTTCGGATTAATTCAGATTTAGTCCCATTTCTGGAGTCAAAATCTGAAATTTCGGATCCGCCCTAAATTTGTTAATGGCACTAAGCCAATTTTTAACATATCTCCTTTTTATACACCTACGTAACCAAGGACTTTCATTGCAAAATAGAGGCCGTTATTGAAAATCAAAATCTGCACTTTTGCCGATTTTACATGTGCGCCATTTTGTTCTCTCGGACAAAGACAAAGCGTGATCACAGTCATCAAATACAGTGACAACGACATGCTTTAGGGCACCAACAAATCTCAGTTGTAATGTTAACAATGTTAAGAAATACATGAGTGTAATTATGTATTGTGAAATATATCTTTTGCATGGGAAACAAAGGCAACAACGATGACTGCAGTGAACGCGTTTCTGCTCGCTTCCGGACAGGCTGCGCAGTACAAGCCGTAGCACTGATGGTTTCGCGCATAGGCTAGAGGGCCGTCCCTCTATTATATGGTCTCTGCTTGTAGTTGTAAATGTGAATGACGTCTCGTGATTTATTTATGAATGAAATAAGTAGTTCTGACGTGACAGAGGTCACAGTTATCCAACAAAACTAATTAAACGAGGTCAACCTTGTACGACACATGTGACATTCAGATTTATGTATCTTACCACCTGTATCTTCACCACGTTTGTAATAAATTGCAATATGTATGACAATATATTGGGAGGTAAAGTATTAGACAGTGACTGGCACTAATTGTTCATGCAGATCCTATTTTCTACATACTAAAGTAAATATTACTCAGCATGGCCAGTCGACGCCACTTTGTAGTCAAGGATACAGGGGAGATAACGATGTAAGAGAAGAATCACACTTCCACTTTATTCTTCAATGTATTTTGAAGGGAAATATCATTTGTGAATGAACTTCTGTGAAGATTTTAGATACAAATAATAACAAACTTGTTATATATTTTTTACCCAACATACGGGAACACAGAAAATAATATTGCAATACGTATCGTTTGAAAAGCATATTGCAGTCTAGTGATATACTGGTAATACTGTGCAGTCCTTAAAGTTAGCAGGTGAAACAGGGCGATAGTGGCAGTGTGAAGACATCATGTTTTGTGGCTACTTCTTTCTCCTTAATACTGACGAATCACCTGATGAAGGGAAGGGAGCAGCCCTGACACATTGTACCACCAATAAGGAGGTTGTTATCCATAAAATATTCACTGTCTTTGTTCTTTCAGCTTATACATGTACATGTATATGCATATCAGAGAAAGGAGAGTCATCATAAGGTTTCGGATCTTCCAAATGACAATTAACATTTTCAAACCAATCAGACTGAAGCAAAAAACAATGTAATTACGATTTCACGCAATGAAAGATAATTATAACTTCCTGAATGGACTGGTCCAGCTACCTACCCTTGTGTGTAGAATGGGTCCATCTGTGCCGGGGATGTGGGGATCTTGGAGGGAGGGACGATGAAACTATCCCCAGCAGTTCTCGGTGTTGTGGCACCAGGAAATAAACCTGAAAGTAACCCTAGATATAGACAGTGTTCGACACTAGCACTGGTCCAAGTCCCTCATATTTTCTCAAGGCCAGTAATGCTAGTCCGCAGGTCTAGTGTTAATTTGGGGATGAACAAAGTTATGTAAGTTTGTACGGCTTTTGAAATCAACAACTCCAAAACCAGCAGCCTGCGTGGTACAGTGGTAGCCTCCTTGGCTTGTTTTCATTCTAATTGTGCAGTGAAGTAATACCTTTCATAACCTTTTTTGGTCAGGACCATTGTGTCTAGTAGAGATCTAACAGGACCAGTAAATTTTCCTATGAGATGGTCTCTTGGACCACGGACAAATCTTGGTCAGTGTCGAACACTAATAGATAATGCCAGCCATTAACCTTCCAACAGGTTCAAATGTTTGTTTGTTTGTTATTTAATGTCGCACTCAGCACTGTTCCACCGATATGACAGTGGCCTGTAAAACATTAATCCAGTGATTGATATTGTGAGCAGCGTTCCATGCCATCGTGGTACGATAACACGCAATCAACCAAGTCGCCATTTAACAGGTTCAAACCTTGATTAAAATTACATGCATTTTATATCTTTATCATCTATCAATTACAGTCCAACCTTGTAGTGTCGAAATTGGAAGTGTTGAATTCCCGGCTGTCTCAAACTTACCTCCCAGTCCTTGTGACATGTTTTAATATGACATTGTAAAAGATTTAAAACAAATTCAAAATTGATAGAAAACAGCTGTTAGCGGAGCGGAGGTTAGCTTCTGCTGTCACGCGACTTTCACTAACTCGGAAAAGCTTGAAGCTATTTGCTTCGAAGCAGGGTATAAGTATTTTTTGACAAATGAGTAATATGGATTAAGAATATGTTAGTGAATCAATTATTCGAGAAAGGACTAAAACAATAACACCAATCCACATAAGGAGAGTGAGATCAATGACACACCTGAGTTGCCACCCCTTCACTACCAGCAGCAAAGGCAACTATGCTTGTTGTAAAAGGCAACGAACGAGATCGGGTGGTCAGGCTCGCTGAATTGGTTGAGGCATGACATCAATCACTGGATTGTCTGGTCAACAGACCACCGTCATATAGCTGGAATATTGCTGAGTGCAGCGTTAAACAACAAACCAACCAACCAACAGCAGCATTGAAATTTATGTACACCTTGGATTTTTGTTGAGAACTGGTAATCTCTCATGACTATGATGATTGGTTTGAAAATTCCCTTTGTTGGTTGTCTCGAACCCCGGATAACTCATACACTTTCCAGGCCCCTATGGTCAACACAAGAGGTTTGACTGTAAATCAATTATGACAACACAGAAAAGGCTAACCGATCAGTACCTTCCCATTATTGAAATACTTGTGCTGGTTGGTTGGTTGGTTTGTTGTTTAACGCTGCAATCAGCAGTATTCCAGCTATATGACGGCGGTCTGTAAATAATCGGGTCTGGACCAGACAATCCAGTGATTAATGTCATGAGCATCGATCCACGCAATTGGGATCGATGACATGCATCAACCAAGTCAGCGAGCCAGACCACCCAATCCCGTTAGTCGCCTTTTAGGACAAGCATAGTCACCTTTTGCGGCAAGCATGGGTTGCTGAAGACCTATTCTACCACGGAATCTTCACAGGTCGAAATACTTATGCACCTGGTTTATCACTGTCTGATTGCCAATAACACCCACCATCCCCATCCCCGAGCACACTTCAAGTACATGGTCAAAATGTGAAACATCCCCTAAAATAAATCTTAAAAGTTTGTATGAAAAAAAAAGATAAGGATTCTGATCGCATAAAAACACTCTACTTGTTCAGAACTATGTATCACTCAATATTCGACATGGTCCCCAGGATGTCCAATTATCAGGGTTTCACTGTCTGGGTGATTGTTGAAACAAGTTTCTTTGTTTACCTGAGGTGGGTGGTCCTGGTGACACGCCCCGGGAAGCCGGCGTGGCCGTGCTCCTAGACGGCACCTGAGATGCGAAAGACTGGAACAAAACAACACATTGTTGCAACAGATGCAAGTATTTTACTCAATTAGGGGAAATGAATGAGTGAGTTTCATTTTACGCCGCTTTTAGCAATATTCCAGCAATATCACGGCGGGGGACACCAGAAATGGGCTTCACACATTGTACCCACGTCGGGAATCGCACCCGGGCCTTCGGCGTGACAAGCGAACGCTTTAACCACTGGGCTACCCGACCGCCCCTAGGGGAAATGAAAAAAAAAAACACACAAAAAAAACACAAGATGTTATCACCGCTGTTCTAAGAAATGGTGAATAATTCATGAACTTTTAAAAATATTTTTAACAACAAAAACCAATCAACTATCTCTCGGTATCATTTTACAAGTTTCTTTTTCATTCATTAGTATCAGTACTAATGTGGAAATTAAATTCTTTTTTTTTTCATTTAACCCCCAAGCACCTACATTGAATTTTAGACCAAAATGTTCGTTAATCAATCAATAACAAATTAAACGGCTAACTTACATCAATGCAATACAAGCTGTAAACCAACAGGATTAAGAATTTTTAAGATTATTAAGGATTAAGAAGAATTTGAAAAAGAATCCTTCCAACATGATTTCCTACACCATGTACTTGCAGCCTGATTTACCTGATGGCCAGGAGACATATAGCTCGTGTCAGCCCCGGGGCTCAGGAATAAACTTTTGACAGGAGGTGCACCGCCCTTGTCTTTTGTTCGGGATAAATCTCTGTAATCAAGAGGAAGCAATGAACTTTGGGGGAAAAAGTGTGTGAGCGAGTATGGTTTTACACTGCTTTTAGTAATATTACAGCAATATCACATCGAGGGGCACTAGAAATAGGCTCCACACATTGTACATGTGGGGAATCGAACCCAGGTCTTCAGTTTTGACGAGTGAAAGCTATAATCACTAGGCTACCCCACCGCCCTCTGGAGAAGACATGAGTAAGCATGCTAGAGGAAGAGATATTTGTATCAAGTGTGTAGCAATACATTTATATACAGATGCGTGTCCAACAACATATTGCCACAATGACACTGGGTAAGTTTCTCATTATGGAGAAGGTGTTCTAAGTTGGACATTTTGTGCCGTTTTACTATATGTACTACACAAAAGAAGTCAAAGAACACGAGCCAAACATTATGTCATGGCATCACAGATTAACTAGAAGAAGGATTTCTGTTAAACTTGTTCCAAAAGAACTATCCAATTTCAACTCAATGTATGAAAGTAATGAAATCCATCCTGGCACAACCACCACCACCCAGTCAGAGTCAGCAAGCATCAGCAGGACTAACCTGGGGGTCCCAGCTGCAGCACCCCCAGTGGGGGAGGTGAATGAAGGATTCTTCTGGGGACTGTGACCCCCTGTGGACCAAAGTCGGGGACCAGCTGGCTGCAATAGAGAACTGTTATCTAATACCAAGAATGCTGGACATTAAATCAAATGTTGGTAATCAAATTCAATGATGATTCCAGTGATTTTGCAAGAGAAAGGCATCAGCATTGTTGCCATTCAGGGGCATGATTCACTAATAAACTTACTGCTTCACTGGACCGATAGCTTTTAAAAAATACTTGTACCTTCCATATTTTGAACAGATAGGGTTAAATTTTACATGCACATGGCCTATTTTACCAGTACTTTACTGACTTTGCATGCATTCTGATATGAACAGAGCTACATGACTATTATGATCAGCCCTGTAAATTTGAAGCACTAGAACATATAATTGTTCATTTCATGCCATTGCACTTAAAATTATAACTGACCTTTTTTAAAATTCATTTTTAGTTTATATTTCTCATGCCTTTTGGAAAACTTGACAAGAAAATAAAAAGATTTTTAAAATATGTATTGGTGTTACCAAAGCTCACAATTATCTCAAATTAGAATAAAGAAGGATAACCCCATTCTTTGAATCACGTATTCATTGAACAAATTGAATTTCCTCATTTATCTCTTTATCCTGAATAAATAAATTCTTGCAAACATTTTATACATAACCACAGAAACACCAAGCAGATGAGAAAATTCAAAAGTCTAAATGAAACAATTAATCTTCTACACAAAAATTATGTCATGTGATGCATGTATGTCAAGAAACAACATACCGATATTCCATGTTGAACACTTTCTCCCAGTAGGTATCCTGGAAGATATTGGTGGGTCCCAGGACTGCTGGGAGACGCTAACATTGGTTCTGAAGTAAAGAGTTTTATTGAGTCAATATTATATCATTAAGATAGCCTGTTACTCTAGAATAGAACATGACTTAGCATGCTTGGGAAGGTAATTAACTTAATAAGAGACAATGTTCCATGGTCTGGTGCCCATTCCTGTCTTGGCTATTGTGTAATTTTACCAGACCAGATCTGTGATAGTGAGACATTTTCTCTGTGTAATTAGGGTAGGAGGTTAATTGATATCATAAGATGTGAGTTGCCTGCCAGACATACAAAGCAGCTTATAGAGTACATGAAATCAGAAATCAAACTATCAGTCAGTGTTTCGAAATAAAAACATTGCCAGGCTGCCGTCAGGACCAACAGATTTTACAAGCTGCAGAGCCTGACTAAACTTTTCAGGTCCTCATTTATTAAACTGCACGTTATTGTGACAAATAACTAGATATGTAATTTACTACACACCACAAGAAGCCATGTAACTTTGACATTACAGGCCTGACAACGAGATCTACACAATTAGTTCATCTGTAAAACGCAGAAAAGTCTCTTGTTCTATATCATCTATATGATATCATGTATCTGTTACAGGGACAACATTAGTTTGAAAAGGCAAAATATATATAATTTAACTGAATGAATAGATCTAAACTAATGGTGACATTTAGATTTCTAAATCATAATGTTTATTTTTTCTGAAGAAATTTAGCGATTGACTTGACCTACTTTTAATGATAAATTTGCTTCGCGCGGGAATACCATCAAGCAGAAATTGTTTCTTATTTAATATAAACAAAAATAGAACAGCTGGAAAGTCACATGTTCACTCGTCTGGTACAAGTGAAAATTCCTCATTTGTCTGCTATTGCTAAACGTATTACACAACCTGTTCTAAGAAGGCAATAATATAATTACCATGTAAATCTGCTGATGCGGAGAACATGATTAAATACGAACAATTTAATAGAATGTAGGAAACTAATATGATCCGAATGTTAGAATGAGACAACTCGATTTTCGAAATTGGCGGAAGTTCGAGAGTCCAATCTGCGCATGTGCCACAAAATAATTCACCCTGTTTCCGGAATTGTAAGGTACTATTATCGTAATAACTGTTCACATTTGCGTACTACATACCCAAATTTGTATTTTCATGCATTTTCTTTAAAAGAGGATTCTTATGTTTATGACTGGTTGGAGTCATTGTAGACACAAATGTAATTTCACGTAAAGCATATAATTAAATAATAACATTATAACGAGTTTAAACTACATGATTTTAAAATGTTGTTAGGATAATAGCTCTCAGAAATCTATCTGTAGCAGCCGATGCCCAAAATAGTGAACGGCATCAGATTACAGACATGTGTTCTTAACGCTCCCTGCACGCGGCGCTTGTGGCAGATCATCACCGACGGTGCATTCTTCACTTTGAGCAATATTCCGTGGAAATTAAAAGTAAGTAAGTTTATCTTCAACGATATCTACCTGAAATACTGAAGTTAGGGCACACTTGACTTTAGTGCCAGTTCCAAGTTGACTAAACTTTGGTAACTTTGAAGATTTCCCTTGCATGGAATTTCAGACCGGATTCGTTCTACCACAGACAACATATCATCTCCCGGACATACTTCGTAACCGTTGTATGGTTCACCAGCATCGATTCTGTCGATGTTTTTTCGTCACATGTTTAACGATTATTGGTGGTGGTGGGATGTTGTGTATCTCTTTTGATAACTATTTCGAATTTACGTTTAATGCAGGTGTAGATATATTACTATTTGAGTCAAGCACTGATAGAACATTCGCGAAGCAGTTAGGCTATATAATGCGCTGATAACCATGATCCTGTAATAATGTTATGTGCATAATGTCAGTGTTAATCAGAGGATATGATTCTACTCATTGCTGTTTGATAGTTTTTGTATATTTTGGTAATGTTTGACTATAAACATTGCCCAGTCGTGTGATGGATAGTTGAATAACTGGTTGAATTTGTAGGCATAGGATGCAGCAAGGTAAACATGAAAAATAATCCTAAGCCAGTCATTGTTATAACATTGCCTGCAGGATTTGTTTTACTCATTGTATGCTGTAACCGGTAACCAAATATTCCTATTATTTTACTGGATAGGCTTCAAATATTTAACCATAGAGGTTCAGAAAGTTCAAACTGGTTGCCATTTTATCTACTGTAACCATGGTAACCGTTATATCTGATCTAAGCATGTGTCAAATTTCATATTTTTCCAACTCAAATTAGTATATTAATTTCTAAAAAACTCTGTCTTTGTAATTGTATGGTATTGTGAATTAGAGAGTAGCTATAATGGGCCCACTGTACTTTCCTCTTCAGAGGTAAGAGTGAGTGAGCAATTGAGTTGAGTTTACTGCCGCTTTGAGCATGCAAAGCATAATCCATGCATATCATGACAGGAGACATTAACATGGTTAACAATGGGCTTCACACAGGGGACCCAAACCTGGGCCTTCGATATGATAAGCCACACTTTGCCCACTAGGCTACCCTGCTGCCCCTAGGAACTGAGAAATAAGTGGGTATTCAGCAGTAGAGGACTTAGCATGTACGAGACGGGTCCCCAGTTAAACATACCAGTGACTACTTGAGAGGGGGTCACTCATACACATGACCGCCTGTCCATGGACAACGCATTTCTGCATATACCGGTAGAACAAAAACTTCTTCAAGTGTTATTTAGTACAAGAACAAATAGTCAAGTACAGTTATTGATAGTTGTACCAGTTATAGAATGACATGAAAGAAAAAATAAATACTCAAATTTTGTGTAAAATGTTTCACCATTTGAGCAATATTGGGTTTTTAAAAGCAAATTTCTCCTATGTGCATAATTTTTAGAAACATGATTTTAGTATGTTCTTAAAGCTTATTCATTGTAGAGTTACAAAATGTTGGACTTTCTCAGGCACACCAACGCATACTTGTTTGCTATAACATATTGGAACATGTATACTTTCTTCAAAACTGCACGTTCAGGGTACCTTTGGTTATACACAACTAGTTCACAGCTCCAAAAATAGTAGCACCAACTGATTATCATGGTTATATAAAGTGAATGTCAAGATTAAATTGATTTTTTTTCTGTTTGACTGAACATAGTAATTACATTTTAATAATTAATAATTTCATATAAATGTCACGTTATAATGATCATGATGAGCAGTGAGAGTGTTTTGTATATATTCCTGCAGATTGGAAGTTTGAACAACTCTGATAATGAATTCTTTAAGATAGTGGTTGCCAGTGGTTGGCATGTTTTGCACATTTCCTGGCTAAAGTGTTGCAATTGTTATTTTGGTACAAGTTTCACCATAACAGGCTGTTTAAACAGTAGTCCGAAGCCCAAGTCTAGTAACATCTCTTCTGTTCTTGTAAAATCAATGTATTCTAGTCCTAAGACTGAGGATTAAGGCTAATATCTACTGAAAATAAGGCCATGGTACAAGTTTGGGCTAGAAACTTAAAAGTATTTGGCACAAACTGCCATAATAGACGCATCTTAGACAGAGCAAGACCCTAGTTAAATTTTCTTTTATCTAGTAAGGTCAGCTTGGTCAGTACCAACACAGAACATGTTGAATGTGTTGTCCTTGTTTCATATGTAACACATCAAAACTTTACAATCATGATATTTATCATGTTAAACTTTGATGTGTAATGGCTGAATCATGATTATGTCAAAAAAAAGTATCTTACATTTTATGTGAATATTTATGTCAGGGGCAGTCGGGTAGCCTCGTGGTTAAAGCATTCGCTTGTCATGCCGAAGACCCTGGTTCGATTCCCTACATGGGTACAATGTGTGAAGCCCATTTCTGGTACCCCCCACTGTGATATTGCTGGAATATTTCTAAATGCGACGTAAAACCATACTCACTCACTCATTATTCTCAATTAACACAGTTAATTCCTTCTGTTGGTTTAGGAACAGGCTTGGAGACGATCCGGCTGTTAAGATGGTTATAGTCATCGACTTAGAGGAAGAGGAGGCAAAGAAGGCTGCAGAAGCCACAGCCGCAGCTGCAGCGGCAAAACAGGCAGCTACTACAGCTTCACCAAACAGCAACGGCTCAGGTCAACCTGGAGGTGATGAGAATGGAAAATCAGGAAAGAAGTCGCAGTCTGTGCCAGCAGAACCTCAGGATAGCAAAGGAAAGCCAGGTACTGCTGGTGGAGCGGGAGCATCAGCTGGTGTAATAGAATCTTCACCAACCCAGAAGTCCACTGGTCCTGATACCAAAAAGAAAGAGGATACTGTAAAAGACTCCAAGTCTAAGCCACCAGCTGGATCTATCCCCCCTAAAGGAAGAGATGGCAAGGAAGGAAAAGATTCAAAAGTTGAAACTTCTAAAGCCACTCCATCAGCAGATAAAGATTCTGCTGGAGCCAAAAGTGAAGCTATAGGAACACCAGCCTCTAGTTCTAAAGACAAAGTTGCTGATGGGAGCAAGACGAAGACACAATCAGCCAAAAGTTCGACAGATACTGACAAGCAGGCTTCCAAAGGTAATAATGCCAATGGAAGTAAGGGTAAGCAGCAACAAGCAAAAAGTTTAGATGCTGAAAAGGTTTCTTCCAAAGGAAATGATGCAAACAGTAGCAAAGGTAAGCCACAACCATCACCGGAAACTGATAAAGCTGCTTCAAAAGGTAATGGTACCAATACAACCAAGAGTACACCACAACCATCAAAATCGGCTGGTGCAGATAAACCTGGGTCGAAAAGCAAAGATACTGTTGAAAGCAAGACAAAAGGTGCTTTGTCTACTAACAAGCCTGCTTCAAAAGGAAAAGAAGCCAATTCACAATCTCAGGCATCAAATGTCGTGACTGCCTCAAAGAAAGATACTGCAGAAAAGAAGGGGAGGGAGAAATCTTCAGCTAAAGCACCTAATCCAGTATCACCCTCCAAGTCGAGCAGTAAGGGTCAAGATAAATCTTCAGCTAAAGCACCTGTACACCCAATATCATCCCCGGAGTCTAGCAGTAAGGGTGAAGAGAAATCTTCTGTAAAAACACCTGTGAACCCAGTATCACCCCCAGAGTTGAGCAGTAAGGGTGAAGAGAAATCTTCAGCTAAAGCACCTAATCCAGTATCACCACCAGAGTCTAGCATTAAGGAGAAAGTGAAATCTTCAACTAAAGACACTGACCCAACGATTCCTAAAGAGTCAACTGAAGCATCAAACAAAGTATCACCAACCCCTGAGTCTAGCAGTAAGGAGACACAGAAGAATGAGTTACAATCTTCCCAAGAGATGCCATCAAAATTAGCAGCAGAGGGTACTCCTGCATCCAAGAACCCAGTGACAGAAGACGCAAAGAGTGAACAGAAACAACAGCCACTGGACACTGCTGGTCAGAAGGACACTGAGTGTGCTGAGTCCAAAGTTGAAACATCTAAGGTTACTGAGACTAAGGAAGCAGTGGCTGCGACTACAGAAGCAGAGAGTGCAGCATCTGAGAATCCACAAGTAAAGAAGAAGCCCAAGCCAACATATTCCAGTTTCTCCTCATCTCTTATGGCCCCTACTTTAACAACATGGGTGAAAAATGTTCGTGAAAAACTTAGTCGGCGAGGCCAGCTTGATAAAATCCTGAATAGCTTTCAAAATTGTAAGACAGACGAAGAAAGGGTTGCTTGTTTGTACAACATTGAAGAAGTCCATGAGGTTCTGAATGTTAAAGAGACCTACAAGGCTAAAAGTGAAGATGAAGCAAAGGATCTGAGAATCCAAGGAAACCTGGCTTTCCAAAAGAAGGACTATGACGCTGCTCTCAAGCTGTATTCTGACTGTATTATCAATGCCCCTTCAAAAGGAAGCACTGAACTAGCATTGGCGCTTGGCAACAGATCAGCTGTGATGTACCATTTGCACAACTATGTTCTTTGTTTGCAAGACATCAGACAAGCTTTCAAGCATAGTTATCCAGACCATTTACAGTATAAGCTGTATGAACGCAGAGGAAAAGCTTGCTACTCACTACGATTGAAAGAGGAGGCGATCTGTGCATTTAACGATTCTCTTAATGTTCTGGACAAGACCCAACTAGATCAAAAGAAAGTTGCCACTTTGAAATCTGATTTGATGAAGCAGTTGGAAAAGTGTAGTAAAATTATTCCAGGAGGAAAGATTAAGAATGCTCGTGATTACAACCACAACCACATCGACATCCCAATGATACAAGAAGGTCGAAGTCCCCACATCCCATGTATGATGAAATCTCTTGTCATGAAATCTTCAGATGGTCAAGGAAGAGGTCTGTTTGCAACCAGAGACATAGAAGTAGGAGAGGTGTTGATAGTAGAGAAACCATTCGCATCTATCACCCTCAGAGATTACAACCTCACACATTGCCATCACTGCTGCAACAAAGTGTACTGCCCATTGCCATGTGACACGTGCAGTGGTGTGGTCTTCTGTAGTGAAGAGTGTTTGGACACAGCAATGAAATCCTACCACTATGCAGAGTGCAAGTATCATGATCTTATCCAGAGATCTGAGATTGGTATGGCTCACTTAGCCCTGAGAATGGTGTTGAAACCTGGACAGAAGTCCCTCCGAGATTACCAGAAGAAAGCAGAAGAGAAGACAAGTGACCCTCTTCTCCTTGGCTGCAATAAGGATGGCGTCTATGATTCCAATGATTATCATTCGGTGTATAATCTTGTGAACCATGCTGAGGACAGGTCAAATCCTGATTTGTTCCGAAGAGCTCTTTGTGCTGTGTTCTTAGTGAAATGTATTGAGAAGTCTGGATTCTTCACTGCTGCAGAAGGGGCTGATGATTTTGATGTTGATGAGGAGAAGGTTTATGTTGGTGGACATATCCTTAGACATACACAGATGCTTCCTTGCAATGCTCATGAAGTGTCCGAGCTTCTGTACAAAACATACAGTGTTGAAATGTCTGAGCCAGTAGAAATTGGATCAGCCATCTATTCAACATTGAGCTTGATCAACCACTCCTGTGATCCATCAGTTGTCCGGCATTCATATGGAAATGAATGTGTCGTACGGGCAATACGGAACATACCCAAAGGCGGAGAAATATTGGACAATTACGGTGTCCTGTATCCAGTCACAAGTAAGCAGATGCGCCAGGAGAAGCTACAGGCACAGTATTACTTCAGCTGCAACTGCTATGCCTGTGTATGCAACTGGCCAATGTATAACAAAATCAGAAAAGAAGATCCAGTATTGAAATGTAAGAAATGTAAGATCGGTAGAATCAGAATCCCACCAGACAACCACACAACTCGAGCCATATGCTCTGACTGCAGAGAGGTGTTGGACATTACACCAGACCTGCTCCATCTGTCAAAGTCTGAGCAGTTCTATCAGGGCAGCCTGGAGAAGGTCCTGAAGGGAGATGAGAGGGAGGTGGCATTACCGTTCCTTGTTGATCATCTCAAGCTGATCGACACCCTCCTATTTCGGCCTTGGAAGGACTACAATGACTGCCAGGAGGCCATCAAGCAGTGCTATGCAAGCATGGGAAACTGCCAGGTGGTGGATGAACCGGATGAGGATGAGCAGGAGCTCATGATGGGAGAGAGACGAAACCTCAGACCAACCTAGACTCAGTATATGGTTGGGTCATTGTTATCTGGGTAGGTGGGAAGTTTCAGTTGGCAACCTACCAAATATCTTGATGAGATTGCAAACTTATTATAAATATATACTACTCAAAAGAAATTAAAGAACTCCTGATTCTTTCATGACATGACAGATTTTCCATAGTAAGGATCGGATCGTCTTTAACTTCTTTTCAATAGTATCCCGGGTATATATTTTTGGGAGGGTCATTAGCAGAGAAATGTAAAGGTATATAGTCTCGCATTGTTGTGACACTATTGCTGACTAGTGAGGAGAGTCACCCGAACTCATTTATGATAAGCACCGGTCCATAGGACCCATTTGAGATGATGATAATCCTTGAATTTTGTTTTAAAGGGCCCCATTCAATAAAGTGATCTTAATGCTAAGATGATCACAACACTCATAGTTCGACTTAGCACTCTGATCCTTATGTGGATAAAACAAGGATTGGCTGGCTCGGAGTCAGTATACTGTGGCTGAATTGGGTATCATGTTAACCGTCAGCTATACATGCTATAGGGGGCTAACACTAGAAAACCAACATTAGTCAGGACTAGAACTGGAATACACAGACGTGTATGCATGCAAGTTGCTATATATAAAGTGCAATAATATTGAATGTGACTTAAAGTCCCATTTCACCTAACCTAATGCTGATGATAGAACTAGCTAATGTACATGAGGCCATCTTCTCTACGATGTCATGTTAGAGCCTCAGCAAATGTTACTTTCATGTACACATTTACAAGATTTTCACAAGAATTATTTATTAAGAATTCTTTTTGTACATAGATGTATTTAAACATGTTGTTTAAGTTATTTTCCCACAAAGCTGGTATTTGTGGTTAGGTTTGAATATGTAGATTAGTTATTTGCTAGATTAAATATTATCATAGATATAATCACTGCCTACTGACCTACCACACACATCAATAGTTCATCAATGGAATTTTTAAAATAAGTACATGGTGTGGTCTTAAGAAATTAATTCGAGTAGTTTGTGTGTAAAAGTTCGTTCAAACAAGTCTGCCGTAGTAAATACAAATCCAACAGTGCCTAAAACACTTAAAGACTAAGACTATTTTAGTCTGAATGTTATACATGTATTATATTTTTTGTCAATGAAAGATCTTTTATATCAAATGTATGAATTTACACATGGCAGGAACAACAGCATCAACATTTTCACAATATTCGTAAAAGTACTGATAATGCTATTTCATGTTCGTGCAATACTAGTATTTTGTTTTCATGTGTAATTTCATTGTGTTATTTTGCAGTCAACTATGTGCTCCAAGGATTGTTTCTTTTATGTGTGATCATAGTGATTTGACCACAGCTCTTCCATACTCATTGTGCACTCTCACTAAAATCATATCTTTTACTTTGATATACTACCTCTCTGCGTGAAGATCGGATGACACCTCCATCGTGTCAGGGATCCCTGATCGAACTTTGACCTCCCTGTCAAATGAAGCAATCCTAGGTTCTGGATGTCAGCTTTTGAAAACAGTTCAAACATTTAAATTTTGATTTGAAAAGAAGACTGCCACAGAACATAAATATATCCACGATAGTACGTCCTTTTTGGTGTGGGGGTGGTCGGGTAGCCTTGTGGTTAAAGCGTTCGATCGTCACGCCGAAGACCTGGGTTCGATTCCCGACATGGGTACAATGTGTGAAGCCCATTTCTGGTGTCCCCAACTGTGATATTGCTGGAATATTGCTAAAAGCGGAGATGTCATGGTGCTCAGAAATGACAGGGAGTGTATCAAATAGCAACAATTTTATAGCTTGGCTTTATTTTTTTGCAGTCAGGAGTTCCCGATTTTATTAATGTTCCTAAGGGTGGAGGTGTCCCAAGATCTTCATGCAGATCGGTATTCATGTCGGAGTAAAGATCTGATTCTGATGAGATTGATTCTTTGTGTTAATATGTTTGACAGGTTCTGATCATACTGTTTTCATGTGTGGGTGTGAATGCATGTTGTCCTGAATCAAGATTGTATCAAATTATGACCTTTGAATTGCAGTATTCAATATGTGTGGTGTGTTGCTGTCATAATAATAGTAAATGCAGGAATATTTATCTACCGTGTGTTGAATCTCAACTATGAACAAACATATTTAATGTGTAGGCATAATGGATTAGTATATTAATTAAGCCTGTTATCATGGTTAAGTTGATTTAGTTGAGAGAATAGATCATAATTATGGTCCATGGGAGTCTCAAGACTACACTGTACATGGAAACAATCAGACCATGTTTTAGTATTTTGAAGTTACCTCCCTTGGTTTAAAATCAGGAGTTACATCCCTTTCCTCAGAGATCTCCAAGCTCCTTCCCAGCGCGTGACACCTTCGTTACATTTTCGGTATAGAGAGCTCCGGGAACGTACTATCGCTGTGAGGAGCTTGAGAGATCTCTCTTGTTGATCTCTAATATTTTAATGTTTCCTTTAATCTTCATTTGCAGATAAAGAAGAAGTGTTATTTGTACTGAGGGTTGACCCTTCTACAGTATTTGAACAGGGTAAATTTACATGTAAATGAACAACATTTGTTGTACTTATTTATATTTTTCTTAGGTCTCATTCCCTAGAATTCTGCCTTTCACACTGTTCTTCTCAATATCTGTTTGGGTAAATGTGGCCCTATGATCAACAGGTGCTACTGAACAAGTTTTGTAGTTGATGCTCTTTCTGAACCGATATGATGATGATGATGATGATGATGATGTGCCTTTTTGTGAAACACATACCTCAGTGCCAATAAATATAGATAAAGTGACCATGATGTTGTGTTCATTGTTTGCACTGCTAACATGCATACAATCATTTTAGTTGTCCAGTCTATGTCCTAGTTGTCCCTTGGAGGATAGAATATGTCCCCAGTACCCCATAACTTACTGAAGAGTGAGCTTGTGTTTCATAGTTGCTCATGCTGTCAACCACTTGTTTGCCTGACCAGGCACAGATATTTACATGCCACCGTGATATGGCTGGAATATTGCTGATTTTGTGGAAAACAACAATCACTCAGTTGTTCAAATAAACAATATCTGGAGTCGGATACCCAGAGTCTATGAGATGAAGGTTAAGATGTTGTCACAACCAGGAAAAGGATCATAGCAAGGGTGGATCCAGCATTTTAAAAGGGAGGGGTCCAAAATATCAAAATCCTCTCAGATAATTTTACTGCCTACAACATACTACATTTACTACAATTGGTTTCCAAAAGGGTGGGGGAGTGCTGGATGCGCCTATGCATAATCTCTGCAAATCTGGGATTCGTAACTCCCATGGTGACAGGTGACAGGTTGTTTACCTGAACAGGAATACGCCAGCATATATCACTATGTGCCCACCATAATAATATCCATCTCAATCTCAACTCTTCTTGTCTGCCCCTTATCACGTTCGACATTAAGGGGCTGAAACAAGGACTGGTTGGCTCCTAGTCGGTATACTGTGTCTGAGTGGGGTATCCATGTTAAACTGCGGCATGGTATCTCAGTGACACAGCACTATAAAGTCGACATTAGTATGGAATAGTACAAGCAGCCAGCCACACGCACGCACACACGCACGCACGCACGCACACACGCATATGCATGTCGCTATAGAACTGCAATAATCTTGAACGCGACGTAACTCCCATTTCGGTTCGCCTCAAAAACATGACGTTCTCTAACTATACTGTATACATGCGGGGCGGTCGGGTAGTCCTGTGGTTAAAGCGTTCGCTCGTCACGCCGAAGACCCGGGTTAGATTGCTGACAGGGGTACGCCGTGATATTGCTGGAATATTGCTAAAAGCGGTGTAAAACCATACTCATTCACTCGTATACATGCTTTCTGCAGAACACTCCAAAGCATGCCGATTTCTGTAGGGGTGTTATCCATATTAAACTATGACTTGGAATCTCAATGGGCTAGTGCTATAAATCCGGACTGAAAAGGCTGCCACACACACGTGGTATGAATGAAATACCAGTGAACGCTGGGCTAAACGCCATTTCACCTCACCACCGACATGTATGACACTTCAATAAAAGAGAGGGGGGTAAGAGAAACGGACGTAAAATACTCGTGGAGACGTGATATTACACGTTTGTTCGCGAACAAATTATCACCAGTATCTTATATTACAAGTGAGTGAGAGTATGGTTTTACGCCGCTTTTAGCAATATTCTAGCAATGTCACGGCGGGGGACAATAGAGATTGGCTTCACACATTGTACCTATGTGTGGAATCGAACCCGGTGAACTCTTTAACCACTAGGCTAACCCACCGCCCCACTTATAATAAAAACATAACTATTGACGTGAATAGCATTGTATTATGACGGGGGGTGTCCCAGCGTCAGCTACGTTTCAATCAGTGTATCAGAATGAGGCCCATTTACTCATTCTTGTCTCAAGAAACAGCTGAAAGTGGGGATCGGGTGGCCATGCTCTGTGACTTTGCTGATTGTTTGTCATCGTATCCCGATGGCGTGGATTGTTGTTCATGACGAGTATTTACAGCTGTAATTGAAGCTGGAATACGCTGGTACGCGCTGACTGCGGCTTTGATAAACATTCACACACCCATTCACCCAATCATTTCGTCGGGCTGATATTTTGACTGTACCGTTTGTAGGATCACGGATCTTCAGATTGTCTCCATGGTAACCCTAGTTCGTTAGTACTTTGTTTGACGCCGCAATCGGCAATAGTCCAGCTATATGACGGAGGTCTGTAAATAATCGAGCCTGGACCAGACAATCCAGTGACTGATATTATGTGCATCGATCCACGCATTGGGATACGATGACATGCTTCAACCAAGTCAGCAAGCCTGACCCCGATCCCGTTAGTCGCCTTGACAAGCTTAGTCGCCTTTAACAAGCATGGGTTGCTGAAGACCTATTCTAATCTGGACCTTCACGGGTAGTTAGTACTTAGTAATCCTTAGTACTTAGTAATCCTCACAAAAGCAGTTAATCTTGAATCGATGCATACACGAATGCGTACAATTATTACTAAAAACAAAACCGAAGCATACAAAGATGTGAAGAGTTTGCTCGTTACCAGTTTTCGGGTATTGTATCCGCAATGGAGAAATCATGAGAAATCAAGGGGTTCGAGTGATTTCTCCGACTTAAATAATTTCGGTATAGTTTTGCTTTAAGTCCTATAATTGCGTCAGTTCTAATCCTTGCACAAGAGACCGCCTCCGTGGTTTAGTGGTAGAGCGTCCACCCGTAAAGCGGAAGGTCCGGGTTCGATCCCCGGCCGCGTCATACCAAAAGACGTTTAAAGATGGTACTTGTTGTTACCCTGTCTGGCGCTCGGCAGTAAGGGGCTAAAACAAGGACTGGTCGGCTCGGAGTCAGTATGCTGTGTCTGAGTGGGGTATTTATGTTAAACTGCGGCATGGTATCTCAGTGAGCTTGCACTACAAATAGGCATCAGTCCGGACTAGAACATGCAGACACACACACGTGCATGCACGTCGCTATATAAGTGCAATAATCTTGGACGCGACGTTAAACTCCATTTCACCCCACCTTGCACAAGATGCATGGCCAGATAACTCCTGGCAGAATCAACGGCAACAAAAAAAGCGTTACGTCGTCAGCTTGGGCAATTCCAGATTATCGCCATTGCCTTATTACGTGCATGAGGATGACTAATTTGCTGTCCATGGAAGTGAGAATTAGCTCAATCTTCTATTAACCCATGTTTGATTATATGGCTCAATCGACAGTAATAACTGACTAATGACCTAATTACATAGAAACAACGTCTCATCACCATTTAATCACATGGCACACATGTCTTCACCTAAACCATCATACAGTGATGGGTAAATACTACTAGAGAATGTTACACTTCACGACTACGGCCTTGACTTAAACAGCTAAGGTGGGATGTTACATTTCACGACTAAAACCTTGACTTAACCAGCTAGGGCCGGATGTTACACTTCACGACTACAGCCTTGGCTTAAACAGCTAGGGCCGGATGTTACAGTTCACGACTACAGCCTTGACTTAAACAGCTAGGGTCGTAGGTTACAGTTCACGACTACAGCCTTGGCTTAAACAGCTAAGGTGGGATGTTACATTTCACGACTAAAACCTTGACTTAACCAGCTAGGGCCGGATGTTACACTTCACGACTACAGCCTTGGCTTAAACAGCTAGGGCCGGATGTTACAGTTCACGACTACAGCCTTGACTTAAACAGCTAGGGTCGTAGGTTACAGTTCACGACTACAGCCTTGGCTTAAACAGCTAGGGCCGGATGTTACATTTCACGACTAAAACCTTGGCTTAAACAGCTAGGGCCGGATGTTACACTTCACGACTACAGCCTTGACTTAAACAGCTAGGGTCGTAGGTTACAGTTCACGACTACAGCCTTGGCTTAAACAGCTAGGGCCGGATGTTACATTTCACGACTAAAACCTTGGCTTAAACAGCTAGGGCCGGATGTTACAGTTCACGACTAAAACCTTGGCTTAAACAGCTAAGGTGGGATGTTACATTTCACGACTAAAACCTTGGCTTAAACAGCTAGGGCCGGATGTTACAGTTCACGACTACAGCCTTGACTTAAACAGCTAGAGCCGGATGTTACAGTTCACGACTAAAACCTTGGCTTAAACAGCTAGGTCGGATGTTACAGTTCACGACTAAAACCTTGGCTTAAACAGCTAAGGTGGGATGTTACATTTCACGACTAAAACCTTGACTTAAAACAGCTAGAGCCGGATGTTACAGTTCACCACTAAAACCTTGACTTAAACAGCTAGAGCCGGATGTTACAGTTCACGACTAAAACCTTGGCTTAAACAGCTAAGGTGGGATGTTACATTTCACGACTAAAACCTTGGCTTAAACAGCTAGGGCCGGATGTTACAGTTCACGACTACAGCCTTGACTTAAACAGCTAGGGCCGGATGTTACATTTCACGACTAAAACCTTGACTTAAACAGCTAGGGTCGTAGGTTACAGTTCACGACTACAGCCTTGGCTTAAACAGCTAGAGCCGGATGTTACAGTTCACGACTAAAACCTTGACTTAAACAGCTAGAGCCGGATGTTACAGTTCACGACTAAAACCTTGACTTAAACAGCTCAGGCCGGATGTTACAGTTCACGACTAAAACCTTGACTTAACCAGCTAGAGCCGGATGTTACAGTTCACGACTAAAACCTTGACTTAAACAGCTAGAGCCGGATGTTACAGTTCACGACTAAAACCTTGACTTAACCAGCTAAGGTGGGATGTTACATTTCACGACTACAGCCTTGACTTAAACAGCTAGGGCCGGATGTTACAGTTCACGACTAAAACCTTGGCTTAAACAGCTAAGGTGGGATGTTACATTTCACGACTAAAACCTTGACTTAAACAGCTAGGGCCGGATGTTACAGTTCACGACTAAAACCTTGGCTTAAACAGCTAAGGTCGGATGTTACATTTCACGACTAAAACCTTGGCTTAAACAGCTAGGTCGGATGTTACACTTCACGACTACAGCCTTGACTTAAACAGCTAGGGTCGTAGGTTACAGTTCACAGCTAAAACCTTGACATAAACAGCTACTTCGCCACATCCAAGTTCGATACAAAGAGGTTCGATTGTAATATGTCCAGGTCACTGGCATGGCGTTTCTCAGTTTCAAATGCCCTTGCATGAATGAAAGATTTGGTTCCGAGACGAAGGAACGCACAGTGCCAAATCCGACTAATAACAAACGTGCCGGCATCATGTCTAACTATGCAAATGGAATT